GAGTTGTTCCTCATCAATATCGGATAGATATTGTGAAGCGGAAATTCATTAGCAAAATAATGAGATGAAGATCTAAATTGCCACTATACGTTTTGAGGTCTCTTACCGTAAGAGGGTAAAATATGAGAATGAAATTTATTGCAGTTTTACTGCTGTTTGCCGTTTGTGCATTTCCCGATACAATATTGTGCAGTAATAATGAGAAATGTAACGTCGTTGAGCAAGACAATGCGATTAATTGGGACAACTTAAAAGGAGATTGGTACGAAACCATGAATGCTGATCAAAATATCGACAAAATAGGTGGCTGCTTTCGAATACATGAAATTAAATCGATCAAGAATGGAGGACTTGTGAATATTATCGATTACCACATCGATAGTAAAAGTCACAAGCAATTATCTTTAAATTTTGTATTCAATCACAACAGACAGTATGAACTGAAAAATTCTGACGTCGTGGGTATGTCGAAATCTGATCTAAGAACGGCCCTTACGGACCTAGATTCGACAATGGCGGTAATAGCTGATGAAATTGGCTGAAACCATACCGAATGTACCATACTCAATACTTACTGATTACGAAAACTACATCATATTTACGAGATGCCTCGACCAAAATATTGAAGGTGGTCAAAATGGTTTCTGGATTTACACGAGGGCTCAACATCCAACTGCAGAAGATGTTTTGAGAATCATCAATGTGATATCTCAGATGACAAACGGATGGAATGTGGTTCCTCTTGCTCTGTCGAAATGTGTATACGCCAAAGGTCTGCAGAATTTCATTGAGGTCTAAACTGTTAGTTCTGCTAGGCTTTCATTTCTGTTTTGTTTTTTTGATGTAGTCATAGTTATATAGTTCATCATTTCAGATATTATGTTATACGATTGATATTTTGCAGAAATGGATGTATGTATTGTCAATATAACAAGAAAATCAAAATAATGGTTATAATTATATAAGCAGTGTTTGTTTCCAATGATCGCGTATTTGTCCGTAAGAATAATTTACAATATTGCATAATATATAATTGTTTGTGTATATAAATAGTAGAACATCACTAATAATATATTCTTTACTATTGATAGGGGTTTGTTTCTATATCATTGGCATTTTTCAAAAAACGGGGAAGATGAGTGTTGATTACATACATACAGTTAGAATTTGTGTGTAACTCCACTTTTGATAATTTAGCAAAGTGACATAGACAGTCTGTATACCACTACTGAGTTGAAAATGATTAATCATTTCCGTCAAAACCATTTATGTTGACAACTGTTTATATTAAGTGTAGCGAGGTGAGATTTAGCGGGTTGAAGACATATTAAGAATAGACAAATATACCCATGTTCTCTTTCACGCTGTTGTACATTGATTATTTAAAACGTGTCTCGATTTCAATTTTAAAGCGTTTCTGTGACTTATTCATTGTTTGGGGTTGTCTGTATATATGCCGTTCAATAGGATCTCGTGTCTTTGCAATATCACATTTGCATTTGATATATACATAGGGTAACTATAAAAATATCTTATTTTTCCCAACATGAATCTCACTCATTATCCAGTACAATTTTTTTCGTATGATATAGTTGCATGACATTATTGATTCACAAGCAGAAACAAAATGGTATCTGGTCGGATAAAGAGGAACAGCTCTAAAATGGGTAGCAAATTCGGGGATAAATAAGAGAAAATTTTTGGTGGACATATGATAAATGCACGCGTTTTAAGATCGTAAATTACAGCGATATTACCTGAAGCAAAAACCGATCCATATAACTGATATTCTCGGTATCGATATTTGTTCGAAAGTGACTATTTCAACGTCTAAATATTTCTTACTTTGAATATGCCATTCTCATGAACCAAGAATTCATAAACTGGAAGAGTGCTAGAATGCTTGAGGGGTGCTGTCTGTTATTTACTATTGCAATTTAGCTAATCTACTAAATAAAACAGTCGATATTCTCGGATTTCACAATATAATATGTTTATCGGCCTCTCTGCATATAATATCACTATAAACCTCTTCATCCCGGTATGATCATTCGCTTTATAGCTAGAGCGGTATGGAAGGGGTGGCGACCAGAAAGTTTAATAAACCACTGTTATAGACGGTTAATCAGTATCACACTTGTTAGAACAAATTCTCACATTCTTTATAATTATAATTGATCAATTTCATAGCATGGGTTACTTCAATGTTCATCTATCCGATTTAAACAACGGGGAAGAAAGGGTCTTACTACTTACTGAATACAGCGCGAAACACCGCAAAGAGCGCAAAACAGCGCAAAACAGAGGAAAACAGCGCGAAACAGAAGGAAACCAGCGCTGTTTTGCGCTCTTTGCGGTGTTTCGCGCTGTATTCAGTAAGTAGTAAGACCGGGAAGAAATGTGCATTCCAAATCACTTCAGTCAATGAACTCGGTCCTTGCTCCAAATAAATATTTTTATGTTCAAGATCTAGAGCTTAATTTTTTCCGTGTTGTGAATTTCTGTTTTCTATGAGTTCATTCAAGTGTTATTGAATACTTCTGTCTAAATATTTTCGAGATGAGAATGCCAAAAAACAAAAATATTTTTCAATAAAAGAAAAAGAGTGACAAGTAATTATATTCTTATGTTTACTTATTTTCAAATGAAAAATAATTACATAAAAATAGTACTGAAAATTATTCAATATTATCTTGAGACTAATGGTTAAAACTTTGATCATTTTTAGCTGACCAAGGAAACGACTGAATCTTCGTCAATCTCTGATATAGTGCTTAATCTTGGTCGGTTATCCATCCAACCGTTACCGTCGAAGATAATACCGACTTGCTGAGGATTGGGCACGTAAATGTTTTCGTCGTCTTTGAGTTCTTGAACCTTTGACTCAGGGAAAGAAATGTCGTCTAAAAATACTGACTCGGTGTCATTCGCGTTTTTGCTTGTTTTCAACGTTTCGTATTTCGCGTTCAGATCGTCCTGGTCTTGAATTTTCTCATTATTGTGGTTTTCCAAATTTGTTGCAGATGTAAGCGTGGTATTATCAGAGATTTTTAACTGTGACAACCCATTTTCTAATACCTTTTCGTATGATATCACACGACTTTCGTACACAGACATCTCGGAAATGTCGCCTTCGTAATCGTCGTCAGAGTAATTTTTATTGACCTCACCAATCTCTTTCACTGGTGTATCTCGCAGTGCAAGAAGATTGTTTTGCATTCCGATATATATGTTTCTGCATTGGAATGCTTCCGTGTATGAACCTGTGAACTGCAATGTAATTGCAAGTCTTCCAACTATTTCAGTCATAACCCTGTGGTATCTTTCGTCTGATAGACAATGATACATCGTCGCAGACTCGTTGAAAAAATTTAAGGCCTTTTATATTTTCTGAATCCAAAATACAGATCTCCCAATTGAAACAAATTCGCTGCTATTTGTTCATCTGGTACCCCCTAAATTAGCTCGTTTTTCAGCGCTAACAGCAAATTTTCAGGTACTTCAATGACTTCTTATGATCACCCTCGTCGTCAGATATAGTTGCCATTTCTTGGCAATTTTTGACAGTTCGAAGTGTCCCATTTGGTCTAATTCCACATCGTCGCATTCTGCATCTTTCATTGCCTGTTTCCCAGCATCGAGAGCAGCTTTCATCATTCCTCCATCGATGCAACAGGAAATTAAATTTCCCCAAGTAGCTAGAACTTTGTACAATGCTTCAGCGCAATGAACATCATCATAGAACACAATTTCTTTTCTGGTGTTCAAAACATGTCGTAGCATATCCATCGCTTCCAATCTTCGTCCTGTAGCCCAAAATATTCCTGCTAGATTATTTATTGAATCCGCTAATCTTGATCGCAATTCTGAAAACACGTGCCCCTTTTCTTGCAAAATAATTTCTTTTTTACGTTTGATTGCTTCTTTGAAATGCATTTCAGCTTCTGAATATTTCTGTTCTTTGGCAAGGCTTGTACCCAGTCTGTGTATAAGTTCAGAACTAGCTAATAATCGTGTGTGCTTATCTTCTATTTTATTGCATAAATCCACAGCTTCACGATATACAAACGTAGCTTCTCGATATGATCCTGTATTGAAGAATATTTCAGCCAAGTCTTTGAAATCATCCAAAATTCCAATGAATGATTTGTCCATTATTATATGAAACACTTAAACGGTAGTTGCATCAAAATTCCGCAACGCAATTGAAGAAAATTAGATATTATTAAATGAACTCTGAAAATGTTCAAAAGATTATAAATAAATAAAATTGTGTATAAATATATAAGGATAGCTCAAAATTCAGACGACATTACTTAATCCACTACTATCAATTTATTCGAAACATGACACAAATAATACCTATAAATTTTTGCATTTTACAAGTAACAGAAAACCCTACTATACAATTCGCTATTCAGAACATATTTATACATCATAAAACATATATCCTTATAGAATAAATATAGAGTTATAGTAAAGTTGATATGCGACATACTACTAAACTACACTTCAAATGCTAAACAATAAGATACAGCTGGACTTTTAATCGAGTACAAATCAAGAAATCTAATCATGTGATTCCCTTAGCGATTATTTACTTTTAAAACATTTTCGTATTGAGGAAATAACTTAATTTAATCTCATTATTCATTGCATGTGATTCATTCGTTTTAATCCGTTGGAACATTTTACATCTCAACACGTACTTCATAATGATTGCCATTCTCGCGAATTTGCAAATAAATACAGTTGTGCAAACTTTTACATGCATCTTATTATTTGTTTTTGGCAAAGCAATACTCTTATATACTGTAATACCGCTTCAATTTTTACATATGTCAAATGAAACAATGTCCGACACCGCCCCGATCTCTCTATAAATATATATACGATAGATTTTGCTGGAATGGCCTTTTCCATGTCTTCAAGTTGGTATGCGGTATATTGTTTTGTGCAGTATTGTGCAAAAAATGAACAAAACAACTGTATACGCCTAATATTATAACGTGTATTCAAATCACTGCGCTATATCTTTATAATAAGTATTTTTTATTCATGTTCATTGAAGTGTCAATACAATAAAGAAACCCCATAAATAGAAAAACATCAGTCGTTCCAAAGATTGGCGTGGTACTCGATAGAAGCTTTAGAACGCGATTTAGCTGAAAAGTAAAACAAAATTGAAGTTATAAATAGGATTCAGGATAATCGACTGTTAAAGTAAAATTTATCGAAAAATATACAACAATCAAGCTCTATTTTACCTGTTGATTTATTGGAATTATGGTCTTCGTCACCGCCTTCGACATTGTTGAATGCCTGGTTTGGATGTCGCTTGTTTTCGTACCATACACTCAATTTTCGCGGAATACCTTTGAAATAACTGAAAAAGAAGGAAAAATGTCAGGAAACAGTATTGAAAAAGCAAGATTGTCAGTAAAATGAACAAATTAAATAAATAATTTTTTACGATATTTCGCCTAACTATCTGTTGTACAAAATGATTACATGGAGTCTAAAATTTTTTGATTTGATTGCTGATTTCAGGGTTTCGTAACGTTACCGATTAAAATTATAGCAATATCATAGTATATCTGCTGTGAATATCACTCCACTGCACCTCTTACCGGTGACAGCACATTTGAACTCACGTACATTTTAACCCATACATTTGCACCCGTATATCCGCGGGTTCAATCTATATGCGGGTGCTAAAATCCATGGGTTAGGGTTAGTATGGGTTCAAATATCCGTAGGTACAAATTTCCATAGGTGCAATAGTATACAGGTGCAATTGTCGTGGGTTCAAATTACGGCTTCAAATGTAATGGAACCCTTCTTACCACATACCACCACTGTCATAGTGTTGAAATTGAGTACACCGTGTAAGTAAAAACATTGATCCTTTCGAATATGAAATATACGAACAAAATGAAAAAACCGCCGCATGATTTATATAAATGAAATTCGTATTCCTAAAAAAACGTTCTTCTCACTCTGATACTCTGCCTTCTGCACGTCGCCGTGCAATCCTAACCCCAGTGTGTATTGCAATAGTTAAAAAATATTGTACACCCTGCCAACGATCCGACAACTATTAGAGCAATTTTTGCTTCCTCGCTCAATGATTTCGTTGTTGTTGTCAAAGGCGTTGTTGTTGGAGGCTCGGTGGGAAATGGCGGCACCCCGGTAAGTTGATCACGCTCTGGATTGGCTGAAAAATTCGTATAATTCATCAAAAAAATAGTCCGTAGACTGTGACAGATAGGTTTATTTTTTCAATTAGACAGAAGTATGGAAGAATGAAGAATCTACACTAAATAATGGATGAGATAACTCAAATCGTTGCTGACCTACGACTTACACTTGGTGATGGCATCATATAATGGAACTACTGGAATGACATGACTTCTCTGAATGTATGCGATACTATTTTCTTGTCTCTGATCGATGCTGTAGATAAAACTATATTGCGCTCCCCCCTACTCACCGCACAGCCTTTGATCACAATAGTCGTTTGGGTCACAGAAAGAGCATGTAACACCGTGATAATATGGGATCATTTGGTAATCGTTGCCTCTGCAAAATATTTTTAGACAATCCATGATTATTTTATTTTATAGCTCGTATTGGATTATTCTCTGCTCTTAGGCTTACACGCGTAAAAGGGGTTCCCAGCCTTTATTTAATTATCTACCACTTGGCGAAGTACCACTTTTAAGTAAAATTGCCTGATAACACCTTCTACGACAATAAGGCTGCAATCTGATATCTGGCTAAGGATCGCGTTTGGTCATGTACTAAAATCAAATCGATAGCCAATTGGTGTGTGGAAAAATGGAATTTCTTTTTTTGGAAAAAATGATCCGAAGTATAAATTTACTCCAGACTGAGAAGCCTAGCTACGAAGTAATCACACTCACAGGTGGGGAAACTAGTATACAAACGACTGCACCTAATTATATGATTGCTGAGTTAAAAGTATTATTGAAACATCATATTTTGGATTGTACGCTTATACACCTCTGTGTATCAAGTAGTCACACGATTATTTACCCTGGTGCATAATGACAAGCCAAAAATGTTGCTCCTGTAACTCTGAATCCATGAACAACTATGTTATCGCACCAGTTCCACGCACATCCGAGCTTGTACGACAGTGACCAAATGAGTTGGGTGTAACGTTCACAAGCTCCTGCAATGCATGACCTCAATGAGGCATCAAAGTATTTTTGCTCCTTCATCCACGATGATATCTATTGCTTACAAATAGTATTAGAATTAGGAAAAATTGGAAAGCGTGGACTGCCTTCACATCGTGCAAAGTAGTATGTGCTACTTATGGAAATTCAATAAATTAAGCTTCAATGTAGGTAGGAGAAACCGGTCGACTTGAATTAAAATATATATCATATAAATTATACACTATCACTATATGATGGTATATGTAATCGTACTATGCATCATCTTATAGTTTTCAGGACCCTAGTTCGACGAATAGCAAATTATTGTTACCACACTGAATAGAAATAACTATTTAAACTGCGTACCATACACCACCCTTACTTTAGTTAGGACAATCGACGGATGAAGCCAGCCCTGTGTATATATATATATATATATTGATATGATATGAAATATTCCAAACTCGGGATGTAAAACTTATTCATCGAGCTGTAAACGGGATAATGTTTCATCCAGATCCGAGATATTTTTCAGAAGTAAGGTTCTAGCCAATCTTAAGAGACATCATCGACAAAAATAACCAATTACCTGACCTGACCATAGCCTTTAGGAATAGGAATTGTAAAGGCACAATGAAATCTTGCGCTCACCACATTTTCAGGATTGAACTGTTCTAGAGGAATTCCCCAAAATAGCCACAGATTTTCTCCAACGTTTTGGAAGTTTTCGATAGCTCTAGTATGCTTTTGGCTCGGATTGAACTGGCATCTGTGGGTATGTTCCCATGCGTGTCCTTCGAGGTCGTAATCCCATGACTGGGATGAATGAAATGATCAATTTTGTGAAAAAGAGATACAGAGACATGGATATTAAATAAGACTTACCATTTTCAGCATCTGATCAGCAGTTGGAGTAACAGACGACCGGACTTGGTTGTGCAGTTGCAACAACTTGTCAAGTTGGGCTTCATTCATATAATCCGGTCGAAGATAACGATTTTCTGCATACTGCAAAAGACAAATGAAACAGTAACATAAAGAAGGTCCTAGTATCATGTAGAAAGAGTATTTTGAATAAAGCATCGGAATATTATGATATACTGGAATTGAAGCACTCAGTATAAGAAGACTCGAGAAACATTGTTTTTGAGTTTGCTATCACTGCAACGCATTGATAGGCGATTGAGAATCGCGAAGTATAAATTATGAGCTCAATAATTAACGGCATCGGAATTTGTAACTTCAAACGTTCCTCACGAACGATGGAACGACTGACATTTTTGATATCAGTTCAAGTTCAGTGATATAAATCCCATTCATTTCGGACAAATAAGAGAAGTACCTTCAAGTACGTTTATATTAGAAAGGTTACTACGTACCGCATCTGCTACATAACCATCGTCAACGTATTCTTCGTCTATATCAAGCAAACCATCCCCACCACCTTCATAATTAGCTTGAAGTTCGGATGAAGAATCAACTGGGAGATTCCCAGGCTCTCCAACAGACTGCCCGCCGTTTTCCGGTACAACAGCCATCAATTGCGGGGGAAGAGGTACTTGTCCGACAGGCGCTTGAGCAGTTGGTCGAACAGAATCGGCTTGTTTGAGTAAGTTAGTGATATACTCGGTTACACCAGTCTGAATCGGGGGCACACCTACTCTAGTATTGCCGTCGATGTCGGAATTACCTGCTTCGCCAACTTTTGAAGAGTAATTAGCTATCTCCAGGCGAAGAGAATCGTTGAATGTAATGTTGGCGTCTTCTCGTTCTAGTTTGTTGTCAACACTTCTTCGATAAACATTTTTCATACGTTTCTCTTTATCTAACAAGACCTGAAATCGTTTTTTACTTATCTCCCTTTGCCAATCACCGAAAAAGCAGAGGATGGCAAAACAAACGAAAACCACGATCAAGGCCTTGGAAACAATCTTTGTTTTTGACATATCAGAATGAATTGAACAGAATTACGAAACCAAACCCAAATGGTGGCAATTAGATTTTGTTTTCAACAACAAATATAAATAAAAACATAATTGTGATGTCACAGAACGATGTGATCTTATAATTGCAAATTTTAAATATTGAAATTGCATTTGGATAGTACATCGGCCTATGGTCATTAGGTCATTTGATATGTTCCCAATGTTTGTTGAACGACCGAAATTGCTTGTTGTAAAGGTTGAGTTTGCCAACTCAACCGTTGCCTGTGAACATAACATTTGAATAATGTTATAAAACAGCAGCCCGACATTCAGTTCTTGTCTTCAGCTCTTTTAGGAGTTCGGATCTTTTAGTCCTTCCTTATACGTTTCAAACTATAAAAGAAATCGTTTAGGTGCTGTGTTGTTCTGAGATATATATTATATATACTGAGAATCATGGTATGGAATTTAATATGAAGCGTCGCGTTGTTCAATAATTCCCCATAATATGATTTAAAACCACGAATTTAACCGGTACAAACCGACATCTAAAACTTGGCAATGCGATAGGCCTTCAGATAAAAGCCGATATACCAACGATATTTTCATGGAAATACGTCGTAATGTTTGTTGCTGACGTCATTTTCCCTATTCTGAAGTTATTTTCCCCCCTTGAAACCGAATAAATGAAATATACTTGCTTCTTCTTGCGTAATATTTTAACACGTATAAAATATGTATCATCGCTTACAGCGATCGAGTCATGGAATTGTAGCCTTACAAGATAATCATAATTGCTTATTCCGATTTTGACCGCAGCGATGAAATTGAAACGTATTATATTAAGCCGGGGGCCATTTTGTCGTTAATAACTTACTTCCTTATCATTCAACCGAGAGAATAATATTTCAATTATTATTGAAGCATTTGTGAACTTGTAATTATTGAAAATGGATACGCTGATACACAGAAAGGCGTTTGTTATTTGTGTTGCTGTTGCAGGTATGTACATTTTCATTAATGGTTGTAGTTAGTGTTAGCTGTATTCAAAACTAAAAGGCTGAAAACAAAACTTAACCTAGGAGGTATACTTAATTAGGTATGCACTGTAGTGCAGATTATTTTGCTGAAGTGAAACAATGTGACCAGGAAGATGGCCCTAGAAAAATGTGAAGTTACGAATTCATTAATCATCAGTGACAAGTGTAATATATCGTTTATGCGTTGGTATTTGATCAAAGTTAAGCAAACAAAATGTGATATCATTTCATCAAAATGCAAGCATATTATATTGATTCATCATATATGAAAGCTGTTTCCAAACTTTTTGTTCGTGCGGCGCCAGGTATCAGGGAATACTCAAAACGCACCTACAGGCAGCACCTTTCAATAAAACTTCATTTTGTGATTGTTAATGTGTATTTAGGCTAACTGATCCCATACCCCACATGGACTAGTAACCGGACGAGAGCCGTCGGTGTTCTGTCATAGGATAAAGTCGTTCTATGGGGATCTCCCCTGGGATAATTATGTAAATCCTCTCCTATTTTGTGCTTTTCTTTTTAAATTTTGTAAATATGTAGGCCTAAAAAATAAAGACAATGTCAACAACAACAGTTTAGTATGAAATGGTAGGTCTTGTGGCAATAACCACCTTTAATCGCTCCTGTCATTATTTCACTGTGCTTCATCTAACGTGGCAACAAATCTGACCGATGTTGTGATTGCTAATACAGTAATTGCATTAGCGTTGTTTGTATGTTTTCGTTGTATTCAGAATATGATAACTTAGTATGAGTCAAGTCTTTAGATAGACTCATTACCATTCAATGTATATTTATTGTACTTCGCTGTGTTATATTTAAATTCTTTTTGTCACAAAGCATATAATTCGACTATTTTTCTCTCAAGAAATCTTGTTTGCTGTTGGCGACGCCGGTTGCCATCGGCCGAAAGTAGAAAAGCACATTGAATCCGGAAATCTCGCAGAGTGGAGTATATTTTCTAGTGGCGAAGAATGTACGTGGGTCATTTATCCTCCAGAACGTTACAAACAAAGAAAGCGATTAAAGTTGGAAATCTATGTGCATTATTTCAATATGACAACAAATAAAAAGCGAATTTGTAGAAAAGAGTTTACACAAAATAGAGGTAGGTAAAACTCAATTTGAAAGAATGCAAACAAAATTTTAATGATTTAATTCAAATTTTTTTTATAAAAATCGTTTCGATCTGGCTTGGTATACTTTTTTTCAATTGTTTTGTAGGCTAGTCAGGTCTCACTAACATAGTCCGAAATTCTTTAATATTCAACCGGGGCATATGATAAGGCTCATCGAAGTTGCTCTTATTCTGGTCTCCACGGGATTTAGGATTGATATTATAGCTAGTACATGATAAATAAGAACTATCAGGGCAAGGACATTTTCATTTATAATTTTCCAATATATATATATAATCCAATTACATATATATATATTTATATAGATCAAAGACTTTGCTTGTTAGAAGAAAAACGTTATAGCTACTACTTACCAGGATGCAAGAAGAAATGCGAAAAGTTATTCTGTAAAAATTTGAATCAGTTTCCACTGGAATATCATTTCACTGCTTCAAGACGATCTGAAGAGACTATCGGATTCTCTTTGGATTTCAAGTTTTTACCATGTATACAGGGTATGGAAAATATTTTACCGGGGACTCTTTTCAAACCTCGATATAAATTAGACTGAAATATTAATTATTCGAAATCATCAAATTCACAGCTGATCACAGACTGACTGAATAATCTCCCTGTTTGAACCTTTTGTCATTACCTTTAATTTGTCAACGTTTTGAAACCCGGATATTCAATATTTTGAAACAATTTCTATATTTCAAAAGATTACTGTAGTTAATATCACTTTCCCGCTCGAATCCCGTGCTCTGACGTCGCATCATGACATGAGCATGGCGCCCATGTGCACGAACAGCACTATGTGTCCCTAATTTCTAGCTGTCCGCAGTTCATACAGACACATGCCCACAAGATATATATATGCTTTATTAAAATTTGTTCAATATTAATCGATATAATGCATATAGAAATACATGCAGCAGAGTCTCAATCGACGGTATTTCCGAATGGGACCACTGTCCATCCAAACATTCAAGACAGATCTGATGCAAAGCTAGAAATAATCCTTCCGGTTATATTTGGATTTCTATTCGTTGTTGGCGTTTCGGTAATTGCAATTTTTATAATGTGAGTGTGGATTATCTTTTTACATAATTTTGTTATCTAGTCTCTTTACCTACTCTTCGAGAAGGGAGATTGATAAACAGTCAATATACGTAAATGGTTTATATATTTTTTGTATGGTCTGCAACGCGTTATAGTCTGTTGGGTCAGAAGTTGCAGGTTTGTAAACCGAAGTCATTAACTTTTGATACCCGCATGGTTCTAGCGTCCTTACCATAAGCAAACGTTACTATATTTGAATCTGAATCAATCCTGCCTCGTTTAATAACAGACGCAAAAGGCGAATGGCGTGTAAGCCAACAACAACCAGCACGGGAGATGATAATCCCGTTTATCAAGCTCCCACATATGAAGCAGTTGATAATGGAGATCTCAGTAGCTTCAACAACCATTCATATGAAGCGGTCCTCCAGCCATCGCCCAATTTGAAGAAATTAAAGTCACCTCAGCCAACATATATTGACATCGGAGATTGCGTCTCGGTTTCACAAATAGGCGATGAACCTAACAACTATGAACAAATTGATTTCCATGATCATTTAAAAAATCCACAGGACAACAAAAAGGTTGAGTGCTCACAAAACAGCTGCGCAATCGAAGATTGCCTCACCACAGAGGAAATTGAATTGAACAGATCAACTAATGGTCTCGAAATAATACCAAGTTCTGCTTCTAACAACGATGCAGATTGCAATAATACTGAAAATATTGACGATGCATTGTATGATCAGGTACACGAATGAAGGAAATGAAATATGTTCTACTATGCCAAATACGTTTTCTTGCATTGTGGTCTATGTTCCGTTATGTCAAGTTCCAAATTAGAATGCGAAAAAGGCACGTTACTATTCAGTCGACATTATGCAGCACCGATACTTAATATTAGATTGTAACAATGTTACTGGTAACCGTACCTACTGCTTTTCAGAATGCAGGTATTGGGTTGACAAATAAATGTTTTGGTTCATCAATAGAGCCGTAAATTTGTTTGAATATCCTTTAAGATCGGTTTTGTACCGGTATCGTACTTACCTTAATAACGAAGAACATGTTGATACCGTACCGGCAACCAAACTACCAGTACCTGCACGATTTGGAGTATTCGTATTCAGTCAATTGCCAAACGAACGAATCAAACGATTTCTTTAATAAATTTATTGATGATCGAAGTCGATAAATTACTGATTACTCATGAAGGTTGCATCCACAGTCTTCGCCCCCTCAGCACATTTAACATGTAGGCTAGATCAGTGATTCACAAAGTGGGCGATAACGCCCCCGGTGGGCGAAAACGATACAGAAGGGGGCGAAAAGCCGAAGGGGGCGATTTCGCGAAACCTGTTTTTGTTCAGCGGCTGGCGCATCGTGCACTTGATTACTGTACTCTGTGTGCGTTCGCAGGTTTGAATTCCGAGGGAGATAATCACACGCGAGAGGATTGCTGGATCCCTACCCGCCGTAGGTAGTTCGCGTAGCCCAGGGGTCGGCAACATGCGACGTTTCACTGAAATATGGCGAAAAAACGGCAGTCTTGACGATGAATCAATTTTATGATCTACGCTCGAGGAGTAGATTATATTTTTTACGTAACAGAATCCATCGCGAGACACGTTTAGACTAAATTATGTTATAATCTAACAATTTAATGAACAGCTACTCTTTTAACGAGCCTACAATTTAATTATAATTAGACAAATGGCAACACGCAGAAAAGTTGATGCTGAGTGCAGGGGTTCAATAGCGCAGAAAAAATATTCAAATGGAGCTCCTTGAGATTCAATGCAATGAGGAAATAAAATTCATATTCTATTCGAGAGATGTATTACTGCTTGATTTTTATAAAAATGTATCTTCTTTAAGAAAATCTCCATCAAAATTTGACAAACCATGCCAAAGGAAGGTTGCTGACCCCTAGCGTAGCCGATGGTCGGTTACAGCTTCCCCTACTATTAAGTCCATGAACCTAAAACAAATAAATGGCTGATTAATTCTATGGACTGGTAAGTGGTAACCGGACTGGAGGCCGGGGTACATGATGAGGAATCAAATATGAATTTTACCGAACATCGTTATGATGTATTTTGGTGCAGGTCATCAGACAAGTACCCGGCGATTTTTGAGGAGGTAAAACCCTGGATTTTTCATTTCCGACCACTCATATGGTGGAAAGGGGGTTTTCAGTCGTGATACTATTGCTATCAAAAACAACGAAATTGCATTTCCATCAGTAAACGGAGTGATTTGAGATTGTACCTGACGAAAATGTCGCCAAATATTAAAAAACTCGCTGAAGACCACCAAGCTCATCCATCTCATTAAAAAACACTATAGACTATGCTTTGTCTTCTTGTTTATTTGGTCTGTAATATATTCGTTGCTGACTTTACATTTTTTTGTAGTGCCGGGGGGCGATGAAGTTGTATAATTACTGTAGGGGGGCGATGGTACAAAACGTTTGGGGCCCACTGAGCTAGATAAACAACGGTGGCGGTAATCAGAAGGTTCGTGCATGGCAACCCGATCATGTTTTTACAGCTTTAAGATGAATGAATTCTGAATTCAGGGAACCTGTTGTTTGTGAGCTCGATAATAAAGAGAATCTGTTCTTAATATTTCCCCATTACTGGTTGGTACTCATCATCGAACAAATGCTATAGCATCTCTGTCAAATCACAGTCACAAGAACTGCCTGTTGCCTTGGATTCCGACTGGTTTATAGGCTGAGCTGTTTTGAAAGCTATACGCCGTGGGTGGCAGTGTTTAGCCGATTTCAAATTATAGCTTTGTTGACGTTTATTCATATTCCGGTTAGAAAAAGCAATTTACAGCTGACATAATTTTTAGTAACGACAACAGCAAAACTAGTTTCTAAAAATATATACCATTATGTATATACGGTAAAAGATTATGAAGCATATATAATGAGTCTTTTGAAGAGCTATAATTTCATTTGAATCATTATTCACATATAAACCAAATCACTCAAGCGAGATACAAATCAATATTGTGAAAATACCATCCATATTTTATAATTATTAAATATTTTCTAATTATTGAAGATATGTAATTAAATTTATACGAGTTGATTATAATTTTATATACACAATAATTCATGGAATTAGCATGCGTTAAAATGGCATGACAGGTATGAAATTCTAACTATGTATAATCGTTTATAATTCAGGGGTGTCAAACTCGCGGCCCGCGGGCCGCATGCGGCCCCAGAGAACTTCCAATGCGGCCCTCGAACGCTTAACAATTATTGTAATATTTTTGTTTATCTAAATATATATATATATTACATTTTTCAAAGTGAAATTGATGCCACGTAATGGTAGGAAATGTCGCGAAATGTGGTGGGAAATGTCTGGTCCGAAAAGTCAGTCATTTGCTTGTTCACTGATCTATACATGAAATGATAAACGTAATATTTTTGCTTTACTAAAATTAATCAAACATTCTCAACGATCCAGAGTAACCGATGATCATGTGACCTCGTTAATTAGAGTTGCTACTGTAAAATCATTTCAGCCTGATATTAGTAAGCTGGTGGCACACAAGAGATGCCAAACGTCGGGACATGTGTAATAAAAAAAACACTGAGTTTATTCTTTAGTTAGTATCTTTGTAAATTTTAAATGTATATATTTAGATTAAGTCATTTTTAGTGTGGGTATTATTCTTTCTTTATCAAAACTTTGTTCAAAAATGATTTGGATAGTTGTACATAAAAATTTATGATTTTATGTAATAAATACAGTAAATTGAAGTAATAGTGAAATGGAAAAATTAATATGTAAATGGCATTTGAAATTCAAAAAAATAACAAAACTTTATTCGGCTGTTTAATTGCATCACAATATATGTCACAATCTAGACCTGTCTAAAAATATACTCCAAGTATACATTATTAAATATTTACCAGAAAATGTTTGCGGCCCTTTGAACAATTCCAAAAATGCAATGCGGCCCACGAGAACCCACGAGTTTGACACCCCTGGTTTATATACCTATATATACACAATAATTCATATGAACCAAAAATGCAAGCACTTGTTCGATGAACACAGGTGGTGTGGAGAACCACGGAGTGATAATTCTAAACTAAAATTTTGCAAAAAAAGCATTCAACTGTTCCCTACATAGTACATGTACTTATAATGAAAAGTATTTGCTTTTATCTTTCAATACACTAGTAAGAAGTAAAATTATAAGCAAAAACTCTTAACTGGTTTATAACAACACTCGTTCCGATCACTATTCTAGCATTTTTACCCTGCTTTAGTAGGATTGCACCAAGCAAAAATGCTTGTTGTGGATCTAATCCCAAACAAAGTGTTGGACGATGTGCAATGATAGAGAAAATAAGGTACAATAAATCAAGTTGACACACTACATTTATATAATAAAGAATGATTTTGGTCACTAATTCATGTTACTGTTCGTCATATTTGTAGGTGATGAGATACTTGGGATACACTGAAGCATCCTTGAATACAACAAATATTGTTGGTTGATTTGGGTCATTCACCAAGCTATCATACAGCTCTGTCTTATTGGTTGCTGATCTTGAAGGAGGTGCAACCATATTTTCTGATCCTTGACAGAAATCACCTGTTATTACGTCGGCCAAGAACAATGTCTTCTCTACACCCTTTTCTTTGCTAGTATAACGATGAGAGTACTTTGGCGAAACTGCAAAGTACACACCTCTCCCAAAGAAGGTGGCTGGTGGAAAAATTAAAATAATATAATGCAAACAAATCATTTTAATAAGACCACACACATTTAATAAGTACAACATTAAAACATCAAATTTGTGATTGAAAATGTAAATAATCTAAATAAGATTGTTCAAACTTTTATTCTTGAGATAAATTCATCGTATTTAATACAGATATTAATTCGAAAAAAAAAACTAATAAGAATACCATTTTTTCCTGCAAAACCTTTATCAAATCCATTATCCAAAATATCATCAGCACATGTTGTACCGTGATAAAGTTTTCGTACAACGGGATTATTGGTATTATACTTTTGCAACTTTTTTTCCACTTCCACTTTCTTACTCATAAACTGAGAATATAGCTGCTCATTTTGAATCCTTTTCACCTTGAAAATGACCAGTTCTTTGATTTGTGTTATTGAAAATAATAAGCACTTTAATTACTTACTTCATGTAGGTGTTTTTAGTTTCTGATTGCCTAAATTTTTTAAACACCCACAAATAAATTACGAATTAAGTTTAAGAAATCATAATGACTTATCATTACCTCAAGCATTTTTATGTGGAATAAACTATCTATCATTCAAAATAACTGAATGGAATACACAATCTCAATCTGTAATACCAACAAGAAAGTAATGTGTAAACGCTTCAGGGGAAATATTTCTGTTCCAACCACTTGCATTGATACTTACAGATAATATGTTGGCAAAATAATTTAGACGAGACAAATTCTCTGTCACATCTTGATATTCCTTAGAGTTTTTTTGAACGATAACACCCTTTTTGCCATCTTCTGCCGTCTCCCAATCTGGAGGCAATTCTGCATATTCAACAGTTTTATCAAAGTGGCAATCATATTATAATGTGTTAGGCACTAAAAACACACTCATTATGAGAACGTGTATCCTGTATAGAGCTCACAAATTAGAATTATACGGTAACAGATAGATGGTCAGATGTAGTAGGGTTGTAATAGAATGCTAGATCAATCGGGCAAGATATCCTTATTCACCAATGTATGCACATCTTGGAAAAACAAACTTGCATACTTATATATATAATGCATACTTAGGACTGGACAAGTGCTTATGATTCACTAACTGTTCAGACTGTTTTACTCAACCAGGATATCTAAAAAATCCTATTTCAATGAAATAATGTAGCATTTACCTCTGAATGTCTCAAAAACTTCCTGTCGTAGTACTTTACAAGGCGGATCCAGAAATAAAATGTTTGATTCAAAATCAACTTTACACATTTGTCGGCTTGAGAGATTCACAGCATAAACTTTATATTCTGGCAAATTTTTTTTCTAAATGGGGACACAAAAATCATAATAGTATACATATTGCTCAATTGTCTCGAATTTACAGCAGAAGATTTCAGAAAAATTTCATTCAGTATTTGCTTGAACATTGTCGAAATGAGTCTTTTCACTTTCACAATTAACTAGTGGCAGTAATTCCCGCAACGTTTTAGCTTGTGTCGAAAAATAAGTTCATTTGTTCACTGTTCACCTGATATTCTTGTTCCAGTGCTAAACTGTCAGTTTCAGAAAATCGGTTCCAATTGGAGCCATCGTCTGAATGTTTCCATATCACAAGTTTAACTGATTTAGTCGCTTCTGCAAGAATTTGGATGTACTCTCGAATGCTGGGTAAAGCCTTGACAATTTTTTCTGTTAATCCCCAGATAATCAGTTCTTGTAAAAATCTAAAACTTGAACTTATTTATGAAAAAGAATTTCTAATAGCTGTTTCAGTTGATGTCTGTTAAAATCTACCATATTCGATTAAAGGTATTGTAATAGCTGCTAATTTGGCTTTTCTCTCATAAAAAAAAATAATTTATTCTATCTTTTCATTTCATGACAGATTTAAAGCTTAAATGCTAAATTAGAAAATGAAAATTTAGTACCAAACAACTATGTATATTATACAAGTAACATTTGAATTAGGTGAAGATGACTAAAATTTCACAAAGCTGGAACACAAAATCATTATACGCATATTTATAAAACACATTCTTCAATATAATTGCATAAGACTAAAAATTATCAAAGAACAATTCTACTCACCTTGTAGTGTGCTTCTCAATTTTTACATCGTATTTATTTTGTAAGTATTCTATGTCACATTGCGACACGTCAACTTCATAAGAACTCAGATCGATGCTCTGCCTCGATGAAATTTTTGATACTTCTCCATGTAAACTCTTTAAAGCCTGGATGCAAAGTACAATTTTTGGTCTGTTGAGATGATATACTTAAACTCGTGTGTCGTATTTACTCATTTGTTATAAATAATCTCCAAGTATTTAGATATTAAAGGCTTTGATAATTCATAGAATTGACAATCAATTCTGTTAAGCTAATATATATGTAGTAGATGTACATAAATAACTTACCTCCAGGCAATATATAGTGAATTATGTTTTTATGAAAATGGAAAAGAATAGATCACACCTCTTGTAAGTTCCTTTCCTCATCGAAATACAAATAAAGTTTGAACTCTTCTGGTGCTTTTTGTGAATAGGCTGTATCAGTATCTGAGGGTTCTTTCACGTCGCTACTCCATAAGCTTTTCAATGAGCTATATGCACCTATTAAAAGTTTCTTTCATGTTCAATTTGTTCACAACTGCAATCACAGTAATATGAAAACATACCTTTGAAATAGCCTTTAATTCCTGACTGACTTTTGGGAGGATTTTTAGTTATACAACTTTGAAAATCATCCAGCATAGAAGACTCGAACACCACAACATTAATACAACAAACGTTAGAAACTGATTTCTTTGAAAATTTCAGAAAGCAGTCTGCCATAATTGTAGCTACATCATTTTTTGCCCAGCTCTTATTACCTGCAATGAAAAAAATATAAACGGTTAGGAGAACCCTAACAGACTACCAGCTAGCTGATGGTGGTAACCTAACAATCGTCTCACACATAATTATTCTCCGCTGTATTCAGGCATGTGAAACAATTCAGAATAATCAGTCATGACAGGTGTGTTACTACACTTAGTACAATGCACGAAACAAATAGTGAAACAATCCAAATTAATGGAAACACGTTTCAAGCTCTCATGGACCAGACTCATCAAATACCTGTTCCCAAGGCTGGTATGGATATAGAGTTCATGCCAAGTCGATCCGCCTCCATCAATACGTCTAGGAGTGAATCTTCCATAGAAATGCCTCCAATATTGCCAGGATCAGGAAAGTAGGCATGGATTATTTTTTTGCATGGCAACATACCACCAGAAGAAACTTTGAATGTTTTCTGACGTTGTTTTGTGCTATTAAGTTCATCTTGAATCGTTTTGCCCCCTTTTTTTAATATAGCCCCGGAAACAAATCCTGAAACATTTAATTTATAGGCATCAAGCAATCAGTCAATATTAGAAAAATAACCAAAAGCCCAAGATTTATGTAAATATTGAATTTAATGGTATTATCACAACAGTAACGCACATTTACAGGAAAAACTCATTTTCATAATACTAGATTCATTGCATATTATCTGTCCTTTTCATGAACAAAATTTACAGAAAGATTATTTCACACAAAATAACCTGATCCCTTCTTTTATTTGTTTTAGGATAGGATAGGATTTACGTATTTTTCCCGGGGGTGAGGAAGGTTGATAAGATTGCTTAACGATATGGTGAACCACGGCCTGCTCGTCCGGTTACCATTTCATGTCGGGTATGGGATTAGTTAGGTATTTGTTTTCGGAAGCATGGACTTGATGGAAGAGGAAGCCGTAACCGACCAGCGGTTACGTGAACCACCCTACGGCGGCGAAGAGCCCAGCAATCCTCTCGCACATAATCATCCCGCATGGGATTCGAACCTGCGAACCCACGCAGAGTAATCAGCGGAGCGGTGGCGAGCGTATTCCTAACGCTTAGCAAGATGAGCCACACTGCTGCGTTTTGAAATAACCATAAGTCAAACCTGAGCTCAGGTCAAACTGCATATTTGTGCTGTTCACAATAGCATCACTTTTTTCCTCAGTAATATCCCCTTGATACACTGCTACTGTCACATCTCCATATTTTGTAGACTGACTTTGTGAATGAGAAGATCCAGGCAAAGATGATGACACAGCATGTGGTATAGCTGCTGTCTGATTTCCTTGTGGATGTGCTGCTTGTTTGAATGCTGATTCAAATGCCTGAGAAATGCAATGGTTGACATTCATGTTACGCAACATGACATATTAAAAGGGTGTATTTGAATAAAAAAGTTACATGAATTAGTGTTGGGGATTTTGGAAAAAAAATTTTGTTTTACAGTGAAACAGATATAAAGTGGTGCTCTTGAAGTATGCGTACCAAGATGTCGCATAACCTGAATAATAACCTGGTATACAAACTGAGTTCAGGTTGTGCGCCATCTTGGTGCGCATACTTCAGGAGGTCCATAAAGTTTGTGGAAAAAGTCTATTGAATGGTTCATCGAGTATCCGACTTGGAAATATGATTCCTGTGATTTAAGATATTTAACCTCACAAGAGAAAATGAGAATTGAGACTCTTGCATTATATGACAAAGCATGCCATGTCATGTAGATACCAATCTAGTAAATCATACAGTTTACTTGAACTTGGATGGTGAAGAAGTCATTACTTCTATTGATTTTGGATGAATTATGTCGTATAATTGGCGAGTTATTGATTAATTAGTGATGGGACACAAGGTGTCACTATGGAGTGAGAGCGCTGTTTTGGGGATCCCCTAACTTTCGATCGATAAGTCTTCGGTCTCTGACGAATATTCTCGTTGTCTGTTTGTTTGTCTGTTAGATACACGCGATATCTCACGAAAGCGAGGTTGAATCTGCTTCAAATTTTGCATGTGCATTCATCATATCTCGGAACAGAAGCCTATTAATTTTGGATGAATTAAGTCGTGTAATTAGCGAGTTATTAAATAATTAGTGATGAGGAGATCTGGATTTTTGCAAATCGAGAGAACGATTTTTACAAAGCGAGAGATTTTTGAGACGCGCTGAATGTGTGTGTGTGCGATGCGCAAGTTTTCACGCTATTTAGTCAGAACGAAGGATCAACGCCGCGAGATGGTATCTCGTTACTTATAATTACTCTTCAACTTCAAGCAACGTTTATATCCCTCTATCAGGTTAGGGGTTGCAGAATTCCTCACCAAAATATCGCTAGGCTGTGTTTAGATAGCCGTCGCAACCCGGGTTAGCGCCGTTATATTTGACACAAAATATAAGATTGGTAAATAGGCTATTGGCTGGAAACTAATCAAAACAATCCAGTTCGGATTTGCAGAATTCTTCAAAAAGTATTTCCTCGAGTATTATTTCGACGACGACGTGGGGAGTTGGCTATTGTTTTCTACATTTTTGATATTGGCTAAAAACTAATCGAAACAATCCAGTTTGGGTTTGCAGAAATTTTCGATCGAAACCACAGTTTCTGTTTTGGGGAATCTCCTAACTTTCGAACCATAAGTCTTCGGTCTCTGACCGATATTCTCGTTTGTTTGTTGAATAATCATGTAGGGAAAGCATAACCTGACAATTGTGTGTGAAAATATAATTAGAAACTGTATATATAAACAAATTGTGGACAAATTACTGAAAATGTTCTCTATTTATTGAACTAATTTGAATGGTGCATGTACTTATAGTAATAAAAAATGTAAGCATAGCATAGATACATAAACAGTAAAACAATAAATTCATTTAGTGGGGATATATTTTTTCTGATTGAATATTTTCTAAGATTTTAAGTACCGGTACTTTTATTATTACTTACTAAAGACACACGTTGGTCGGATGGATACAAAACAATGATAACTTGATTTAAACAAAGTCCCCTGAATGATGAAATTTCATCACGCATCCAGCTGGAAACTTTATCAGGCGGGTATTTGAAGCCTCCAGTTCCAATAGCAGGAAAAGCCAATGTTCTGAAGCAATAAATATCAGAATTTATACAACTCAGACTGTATTCGTTTGTGCCTATGCTGACTTGTGTGAGTTTTCCTGTTCCTCGTAAAGGAAATACATAAAAAATTGAAGTCTAAAATTTCAGATCAACAAAATAAAAAAAATACATTTTTTATCAACAGATGTACAAAGTTGAAAATGTTTTTATACAAAAAAGAGATTTGTTTTAAGACAGAATAGAATACAATCTTCATCTTTATCCAGTGGGAGAAGAAAGCCACAAAGACGGGTAACTCATTTTAAGAATCATACATAGCCCTGTAGTCATTAACAGTGCAGGTTTGATGTCATCTGCGTCGGATATGGTAAAAGCTACTGGAACCACCCTGTGGAAGTCTCTGTTAATAATTTATTCATTAAGAATTCCAACCCTAACAATACAAATTGATCATTGTTGCAGTGACACGCCTGTTTTTAATGGCGTTTAACAGTTCAGGATTGCTTATGTAAACACACAACTTCTAAAGTTTGTCTGATTATCAAAACAAATTATTTTAAGAAACATTGGTCATTTAAAAAAATGCAAACTTTCTGGTACATACTTGAATCCACTCCTATCAGCCTTCTTCATACAATTGGATACAATTTCACGTACAACTTCCTCAGACTTCCTGGGATTCCATTCGCTAGTGATAGCGTGATACAGTTTTTTACAGTTTAGATTGCCTCCAGATGTTTCTAATACCATTCCAGAATTAAATGGTTTCTTGAGACTGGAACATTCATTCTGACGATTAAATACTTTTTGTAGTTACTCAATGGTAGAATTACCTGGCTTGTTAATTAATCTTATTTACAGCAACGCCATCTATTACGCAATACATTTACATCGGGCTATATGTTGAATGCAGTCAATTAATAAACCATGGAAAAAAAAAAAAAGTGTCACAGCAAGTTCTTGTCTAATCGATCAATTGATAAACTTGACCTAGAGTTCTTGACTTTTCTCTTGTAGACTTTTAGTTGATTATCTTTGGCAGAGTTTAACAAATACAGGGTAGCGACCAAAATTTGGTCGCGAAACCCTCCACACTGGGTCGCAAAACATTTTAAATTTGCCATAAATATAAGCATCATGTCTGTGTGCCGTATTTGTGTACTATAATTTTATAAACCTCTCATTAAAATTATGGTTGTTTCCCCGATCAACGACGCCTTTATGTACTGCCGTAACATTGGCCAATCAGTATAAGTGCAAAATTTGACGTAACAATAAACGTTTTAGTAACCGCTTAGACACTTTTGTGTCACTCAGACAGATTTTCATGGTTGTGAATATTACCTCGTTTTTGCGTGCTATTTGTTAGTTTTTAGTTGTGTTTTGGTAAATATAAGTTCAAATGAAATAACACAATGATCGTTTCGTCTTCGTAGGAGTTTATTTTAATTGCAGTAATCAAAAATTAGTCTGAAAATAGCTATAATAGACTAGTCTAAACTTTTCTACTGGTACAACACATCTTGTCTTTATTTTATTGTGTTCTTTTGACTGTTTTTGGTGGATGGGCACGTAGGGGAAAGTGGAGAGGTATGGGCCATCAAACTTTAGAGGGTCATCCCGTTTTGGCCCTTTGCACTAAATAATCAGTCTTTCACTCACGGCATGTTTGACAAAACAGCTAACCAGTCCCGGCATTGTTTTGAGGTTTTTTAGAAGAAGTTTCGGAGAAAAGTGAATTTTTCCGCAAAAATGTCATTTGCACAAAAAAAAATTATCATGTGAGGTATGGGCCAGGCGGTGTCTAGTATGGGCCACCATCAAAAAACTAGAACCGAGTGCTTGTTGTAAAATGCAATTTTATTCAATGCCAAACCCCATGAAATAACACAATGTCTACAATAAATGAAGCTGTTTTTTTCAAATGAAACATATGTAATAGACAACGAAATTATCATCGATCATAGAATAGCCAGTATCAGTATGTATATACATCCTAAGTAATTCAAGAGTCTTGCTGCACACTAACACAAATATATTTCTGTAAAGGTCATTTGTGTCAGTGTGCAGCAAGACTCTTGAATCACTTAGAATTGTTATCTTTACTCTTGCGACAGCATCCTCGCAATATATGCATGCGGATCCGCCGGCACAAAAGCATGGAAGAAGGATAAGTATTTAGTCTCGCACATCTGTGCCTCTTTGGAATTCCACAAATTCGTATGTTACTGCTTTTGCATAAGTCATCAACTGTCAGGCTGAGACACCTTATGAGCTCTTGATTTGCAATTAACATGTGTTGATTAGTGGGACTTACTCAATAATCACACCAAGTTACAGGTGATGGGGACATCTTAAAGCTGTTGAAACCTCAAGGTGGTTCATACCTCTCCACTTTCCTTACTTGTACGTTTTTAACTTTTTTATTAAGTTATGCCCGCCCTCCAGGTCCTCTGCATTTTGTTTGTCCGTTTGTTTTGTTTCTTTCAGATTGGCCAAAATAATTTGGTTGATTGATATATTTGAATAAAAAGTTGTTGAACGTTTTTAGTTAAAATGATGGTTTGAAACATATGAACCAGTTTATAGGCGCTAATTCGCGAAACTACACTTAAGTACCAATAATTTTGCACAGATGGAGTTAATTTGGGGAAACATTCATTATGTAGTTGTTTGCATTGTTATTATCCTACTATGTAGTCAATTGTATCGTAGCAGTGCAAGGTTAGCAGTAGCTAGATGGAAGCGCTAGATAGGACACATAACAAGATTTTATGTGCTAACTGCTATTCAATTAAGTGCAAGAAAATTCCTAGTGTCAATAATAGTCTTAAAACAGATAACTAATTACATGCTTACCAAATGCAAATAACAAGAAATTAGAAAAAAATTTTGTGGGGAGCGCGCCAAAATATACGGTACCGGTAGTTGCAGACCCCTGATCTATGGTATACCTACCAATACTGATGATCCACATTTTCTTCTTAATGCATTAGAGACAGCTCCCCCTTTCATGGTATTTACATGTGCTGCAACAATGGTGTTCACAATAACATCTGCCTGTAATAACAAAAACACAGAAGCATAGAAAAGATGAAAATATATTTGGTCTGAATATAATGAATTTTTTAGTCATACAAACCTTAAAATAAAAGATACTCAAAGTTAATCAATGCAATATATTTCATCTCTCACCTGCAGCGCACTTTTATATCAATCATACAGAGAGAGAAACAGATTTCAATCACCCTTCCTAGTTTTTCATTCATTTTAATTCGCACATCTCAGGTTTAAAAGCATTCTTGGAAAAACTGGCTAATATATATGGAACTAAAAAGTATCAATAATGCAATATTACAGACTGGTCTGCTATGCTTCCGAGTACAAGCAACGTTTGAACATTCACTGCTTGATTTTTTGACACTTCGACATTGACCGTTGGTTGCAATGGTTGTTCCACATGTGACCGACAATTCTCATTTGCCAATCTCTTCATTTCATCTATGACATTTTGATTTTCAAATTCGACTAACTGCACCTAATACAAAACAATAAGTGATAACAGTAAGGCACAACATTCAAGATGACAAAAAAACTGGAATAAATATCAATCAAACCTCTTCAACTGAGCACTTGGCTGTTTCTGCAATGTAATCTTGCAAAGATTCAAATAACAACTGAACAATTTCTCTAATTTCTCTAAGATCTGCCTTTCCACAACACAGTGCAGGAAAAGCAATTATCTTCAGTTTATTTTTGTCTGCTATTTTCATAGCTTCGAATACACAAGATTGCAACTTTTTTTGAGCATCTCTATCACCAGACTGATACCTGATTAAATGAATTGGCAATATATCAAAATCATTGAATAAAAGAGCATGACTATGGATTGCTAATTATCTCAATCCTTCAAGAAGCTGGCAAATTGTTTAAATCTGCACACATAGTGATAAATACTGCAATTGTATTCTCTGAGTTTGTATTATAATAGTGCATCCATTGAGCATAATACATTAACTGTCAAGTTATTGATATTTTACAATACTGTATTATTTATGATGTTGTATATACAATAATAGAGTGATTTTAAAACTGTTGTCAAATTTGTCAAGTTTCAAGCTTGCTCCTAAAGCTGCTGATGATTATTAGATATGATTGGAATGAAAAAGTTAAATTTCACACAACTCATCCAAGTATCTCTGTGATCGGAGTCAGAAAAGAATCCGAAAGCATCAGTAAGCAAAGAGAATATGATACCTAGCGAATCATGACATGTCTCCACTTACTCAAGTAAAATTACATTTGAAGGGGAAGATTGCCAAAGTACTGAAAATTTGAGCCGTTTACTACAAAATTTCCCAATTAGCTATTTTAAAATTATATCAGCGTCAGTAAGGTATTTGATACAAAATAAAGTAAACCTATTTTACCTAGGTACAGCCACGTGTATTATTTTTTTACAAGATTTCAGGTTTCCTGCACCAGTTATAATGGCATCACCAATGTTAAATTTCTTTTGTTTGGCACTTTTGAGAATTTCATTTCCACCTGGAGACATAAATTATCAAAACTTTCATCAAATACTAAACAAAAGGATATATACCTATGATAAAAAGTAATTCTTGAGCTATGCATTTTTGCGAAAATCTGTATAATAACACAATATGGTTAAAATGATGTAATCCAATTTTCAAGTTCACAAGACATTTTTGTATAATTCCAATTGTTTTAGTTCAGAAATTTTCAGATCTAGTAAATATAAAACTTTTAGTCAGATTTTTTTTGGTGGAAAATGAACGCAGTTGCTATTTTAAGTAATATTCAATACCTTTCGTAATGATATTCTCAGATAGCTTTCCACCCATAGAGAATTTACCATCTGTTGGATTAACGATAGCATCGCAAGCATGATCAGTCAAGTCATTTTTCCATATGCTCACTTTAACGGACAATTTTTTTTTTGCGAGAATACCCACAAATAGTGGACTTATTGGCAGCGACTGAAAAAATTTCAGCAGATATTAGGAGTATTGAAAACATGAAAATAATGCTATGATCCACTTATTGGCAATTGCCATTGACAGTGACAACTATGTTCAACTAAATCAAGATTAAATACAAGTACAGTACATTAAAATCAAAGAAAATAACTACACACCTTTATTGACAAAGCAGCTCTGCTTGAAGCTGTTGCCCCATCTAGTTGCCACTCTTCGCAGTTTGGTGAGTCTTTTAAAATTGTGCACTCACAAAGTACCTCAATATTGTTGATGGAAGTTCTTCCAGCCTCAGAATGAAAGTACTCATGTGCACCTGGATCCACCATAATTTCAGTTTTCTCCTTTACACATTGCAATGCTCTACTTATATCTTTTTCAGCTGAAAATGTATAAAAAAAAATCAATATATCTAATATAGCATTTATAATTCACAATATTATTTGTTTTTCATCCATTTTTTATTGAAAAAACTCTTTTCTTCGTAACTCTGGTGTTGTGTTGCAATTGCAGATCCCCATATTAAATAACAGGGAAGCATTCGGAAAATGATATGCTGACTCTTTCTCAGTAACTTGGCATTTCAGTGTTATACTTTCAAGAAGGGTTATGTTTTCAGTCCTTATTTGAACAGAATCGAATAAAAAAAAATTGACTTTGCCACAACACAATATATATCGCTCGCAGTTGTAGCATTTATAGATTTATAATAATAAGTTTCTTTTACCTTGGTCTAGTGCAATAAATTTTCCTCTCACTGAAATTCCGCCACCATTTCTATGAGTTAGTGCAATTTCGATACCTTTCTGTTGACAATTGAAAGAACTGAAATCACTAGATCTCTCAGCAATAAACTTGGCCTTTCCATAGCATGCTTTGATGATTTTTTCCTGAGTCACATTTTTTTGAAAAAAGTCCTCTACTCTTGGCTTTATGTCATGAATCAAATTTTTTAAACCCACCAAATTTATTGATGCACTCTGATAAAATAAAAATGTAAGTTCAAGTATTTCAAAAAAATAAAGTGGGATAGCACAAATCAATGGTTCAACAAATTGCGTTCATGGTTCCAATCATCATGGAATTTTTCAATTGCTATCTTATGAGACTATACGTATGCTCCAACTAATAGACTTTAGATTGAAAACCTCTTTTAATATAGAAAACTGAAGATCATACAGCTTTATCCCTTACACATTTTCAAAGTATGAGAGAAAGCTTGGGCTATTATAAACAATTGACAAAAGAAATTTCTAACCCATTTTCTGAAATTAAAAATACATTCTGTAACTTTTTTACCTTCATATTAATATAAACACAACTACTTTCTGACAAATCTTTAATGAGCTCATTCCACTTATTTTCTTTCAATGCATTTTTCTTTGCTTCATCAAGCGTAATGAGATGGACAAGAATAATGGCTTCTAATATTTCCAAGGCTTCGGTACATTTTTCACTCGGAAGTTCTTCGAATGACGTCAGATAAACATTGTCTCCAGACAGCTTCAAAGTAGCTTTGATAATATTTAAAATTAAAACTCAAATAACAAATTAAGTAGAGAAAGATCGTGATAGTGAATCGGTATTTATGTTATTACAGTATATATATATATATATTTACATTACTTAAAAAACATATACCATGTTCACATATATTATTAGTATATTTTACTACAACAAGGTTTTAGGTAGTATACCGTATGATTGTTTCGCTTTCCTTCCAGTTGGATTTTTTTGTATTTAAAATATATTTATTCATTAATTTTTATTTATAGGTGTTATTATTTATTTATACAAATCTCACAGCCAAATTTTCCCTGCGTGCATTCAAGTGTAAGAAATGTAGAGGTTGGCAGTATAGAACATAGATATTTAATACACAAATGAATTGCATCATTTTAAATTCAAGAGTAATTATAATACCTTGAATATTTTTGGCATGAAACTTGTCCAGAATAAACTTCTTGGCATTGGAATTGCATGCTTTTGACAGGACTTGTTTCAAAAATGCTAGTTTTTCTGTTTCCATTTTTGTCAATGGAACTTTGCTTGAAGACTTTAATATTGAATAAGAATGTATTAGCAGAGTAGGATATGTTAATTGGAATGATTAAAGGTATGTTGTTGGTAAGTGAAAGTGAAAAGCAAAGCACACTGACGAAGATGGAATTCAAATGTTATCTAAATATTTTTTATAAAATAATTTTGAAATAGATTTTAAAAATGATTCACGAAAATTGGACACAGACAGACAAAAATGATTAAAACATTAGCAATAAACACTTCAACCTCTTCGACATCTTCTAAATTATTCTCAATTACAATGAAGTGGCATACGAAAAAACAAGTTTGATAGTCACCTTCAAATAATTCTCAAGACACATACGACCAAGCTTAATATCAATTTCAGTCCCACACATTTTTAAGATCTGTTGGTCACGTACGCATTTTACGTGACTATTAACATTCTTCATGAGATCATTCCATACATTGCATTCTTTTATCATTCTAGAAAAACCACTAAGTTTTAAATAACACCAATCAATCAAAATTTTGCTAGAAAAGAAAATGAAAAAAAATGAAATAAGATGTCTCAACAAGATGTCCCAAAAAGGTTGATTTTCAACAGATACTCCTATCACTTTTATCTGTCAATTCAATTTTAACTGCAATTCTAAAAAATTGCATATGAAAATATTTATCAGTAACTGAACATTGATGGTAACCAAATTAGGTGATGTGCCTGGGTAGGCAAGGTTTTTCGACCAGGAGCCAGAATTTTTGCCCACCCACTCTGACGGGCCATGTGAGTGTGACGTCAAAATTTACATTTTATGGCTCGCGGCGGGTCGTAGTTTGCCCTTGTCAGGTATAGACTATCTATCAATTCTTAATAGAAGTAAACTCTGAAGAAATGCAAAATATAATTTTAAACATTACTGGAATTTGTCATCTGGTATATGTATATCCTCTATCAGATATTTTTCAACCAACTCAGTGAGAGTTTCTATTATTGATTTCACTTCTTTTTCAACACCGACAACTTTCACTGTATTTGAAGTCCACCTATTAAATAGTATACATATAAATCATATACCAAACTGTAGAAACAGAAAAAGATCATATGATAGAGTTGCATAGGCTCTATCCAAGTGACGATGGGTCTCAGCAGTGTATCCAAACCTTTCAAATTTTATCGATGTTTTGTTTAATACGGCAATATTGAAAAAGATTTTTCACACAGATAAGTGAAGGCAAAGCGAAGAAGAGTAGGTATGCTTAGTTTTGACAACAATCTGATAATAGGTACCGCAGTCCCCATTGAACCTTCCCGCGACCCACCAGAGTCGGGATTCCCGGTTTGAATAGCTAGTCTAAAAAACAGTGTGATGGATAGAGTTTGAACTTTTGACTCCCTACTCATGAAACCTTGTTGTTCAATGAACTGATTGTACTTATTACATGCCTTGTTTTATTCAATTGTATTTGGTAAATTAACTTGATTTACAGTTTTAAGCAGCATAATCATGAAATCACTATTATTATTCACGATCATCAAACCTACCTAACACTTGCATTTCTTGATGGGTTCCTTTGAAAATAATCTGGCGTCAATTGCTCATGGAAACATCTACCATTTTTTAGCATTTGTCTCTCAAAGGTCTTTTGCTCAACTGAATATTGCGAAAAAAACTCATCTAGACTTTGTCTACAAAATGTTTCGAAATCTTCTTGCGTTTTGAATATACTTGTCGCTGTGTCCATCTCAACCTGAGTTAAATAACAAAATATGTTTTAATAAATTGTGTTTGTAATATGTAAAACAATATCTCCTTTCTTACCTTTGGAGTAAATTCTACCAAGTTGTGACCGTATAATTTTAAAGTTGCTGAGTGCTTACATATATTCCATAGCGAATCTTTTGCAAATTCCAAAATATTTTCATTGTCCCGTGTTACAACATGTGAGTACATTTTCAATTCTGTCTCTGTTTTGCAAAATAAAAAGTGGTGCTCCCGAAGTATGCGAACCAAGATGGCGGACATCGGAACGTAACATGGGTAACAGGTTAGGGTTAGGCCATAATTTTTTTCCAATTTTCCTAATTTTAGTCCAATTATCAGTTTGAAGACTAGCCAAGAGCCTCCCGTAGTATTTATACCTAAAATTATGGCCTAACCCTAACCTAGTACACATATTACATTCCGATGTCCGCCATCTTGGTTCGCATACTTCGGGAGCCCCTAAAAAGTTATATTTGAATATGAAACAACAAAACTCCTATCACCGATATAACAATAAAATCAACCTTTTATGAAGTTAAGCTAAAAACTTTTATCCACGGTGAGATAGGAACATACTTTTTAATAAATCTTTTTCTTCTCTTGATTCATCAGTTTCTGGCAATTCTTCTTCATATAGGCAGTCATAGTATAGATTTACCTCTATTACAATGTTTTGTATTTTGAAAGGATCCCTGTTCTTGATGAAATGTTCAGCATTTTCTGCATCTGTTTCAGCATTTATATCAAAAATAAATAAATTTACACGGAACAAACAAACGAAATTTAAAATTGTGTATTACATAATATTTTACCTTCATAAGATGAAAAATGAATGAAAGTCCTATTCTTTGATCTTTTAACCAAAGTAACAGGTCCACCACCTGACCGTTTCTTATTTGAAAAAAACAAGTTCAAAGTATCTTCAGGCAATGATGTTATGTCATCACCTTTTACGGACAAAACATCAGATCGTAGAAGTATAGATGCCTGTTGAACAGAAGAAATTATGGGAAAATTCAAGATAATTTAAACAAGTTGACAATCTATCTGTGAAAAATTGAACTTTATTAGAATAGATTGAAGTTTTCTTGAATGGGTGGAGGCAAAAATTTACAATTCATTGCCATTAATTCATTCACTAGTCAAGAAATATGAGAGCAAATAGCTAAATGAATCAACTGCTTTGCTGTTTTGCAATGTTACCAAATGTTGAATCATGTCGGATTTATTTTACTTCAAAATCTCACCCTTTTGTCATCTTTCTCAGAGTTGAGTTTGCCGATCATATCATGAAGTTCAGATGGGCCTGTACAAAATTACAAGCTTTAATATTTGATTAAAAAACAGCACACACATGACAATATTTATTTTTCACTTACCTATAGAGTTTTTAAATTTCACAAGAAATGTTCCCAACCCACAATGGTGACAGTCCAGCACATCTACAGTATTATTTGTCGATTCAATAGAAAGTGTCAAATTGAATGCAGTTTCTTCTATAGTAGCACCAGAATTAGGTTCAAGAATCTGTGAAATATTTTCAATCTTTTTCGTTTTATATGAATTCTGTTACTATTCTGTGATGTGTTTCAACGTAAAGGTTCTTATTGATATAGATAGAACATGTATATTCAATGCAATACTTTTCAATTCAGGTACTATCTTTTGTTGATAATACTGCCTTCATAATGAAGTCCTGATATACTGCATTTCATGTTGATTACATCTGAGACTCAATAATATTTAACATATATAAGACTTCAATGTCAAAATGAACAAATTAATAACTGAGCGCTTTCTTTTAAACTGTAGTAAATACGCTTAGTTCAAACAACTTACTTTTATAACCACGCGATCTGAAAATATTTTCGGAAAGATCTTTGGATGGAGTTCTAGTTTTCCACTTGGAAATGTTAAAACCTTTCTATTATGAGTCTCCAACACCGCATCAATCTCTGCAAATATATTTTGTGCATAAAAAATTTCAAAATAACTTATTGGCATGAACATAATCTAAAAATGTTCTGTACCCCTTTCTTCCGACTCCTTTAAATATGGTATTATATTTGTATCAACATTTTAGAAATCAAACGTTCATAAAATTTCTCCAAAATTTTTACATTCAACTTACTAGTTTCATCTTCAAAAAATATCAAAATGCCATCATGCACTTTCACGATACTTTTGGTCAAACCTCCATTACTGTGCTTCTCGCTTTCAAAGTATTTCTTGATTGTTTCAAGCTGAGTGTTGTCTCCAGTATTTTGTACCAAAAGACCTCTGGAAAATCAAAGCATAAGAAAATTACTTAATTTCATAGAGAAAATTCAAAACATAATAGAACATAATTATAGTTTTGGACGCAACAGCCCTTCAACCTCAAACTAAATATTGGTATATAAAGAAACAATTTTCGAATGATACATGAACAAATGATAAAGAACAGTTATTGAATCCTCTACAAGTTGCAAAGAAAATCTTTTTATTTATTCATTGCTCTTCATTTCGAATTATAAGTATTAAACCTAATTTAGAGTTGAACAAATGAAAGCATTCAAACATTTGAATAATATCAGTAATAATAGGACAGTTTTTCACCTAGATCCAGGTTCTGCAGCCAACCCCATTGATGTCAATGTGGACCATTGATAAGTATTAGATATGTCATTTAGTGGGGTATATTGGTGAACATAGGGAACAGATTGAGCAATGCCTTCAGATGGACCTGAATACAAAATAATGAAGACATTATGAGTTACATTATAGATTATGATCTTTATTAACAAAAGCAAAGGTATAACACTTTTACCTCAGAAACATTATAAATTGTTGAGCTATCATACATATTTTAACCAATTATTATGATCCCAATGTAAGACTTCAAAAATACAAACAATTATTTGCCAGTCACATTACATATTTAGTGTAATGATCGTCCCAGCTGTGCAATAGATAATATCTAGTCATTATCTCAACATAAAAACTGTAAGAAAATTGCATACTTTCTTTAGTATATATAATTTCCAGCTGATGTTTTCCACCAAATTCAAGTTCATATGGTCCTCCATCACGAAATGCCTTTAAAGCTAATTGAGAAAATGGATATTAGTGTTAAATATGATTCAAAGTATTGGCAAAAGATGCATGCGATTTTAGGAAATATGCAATTTCATGAAGTTTTAAATAAAACATCATGAAGTCTTAAGATGAAATTTTTATTTCATATCTTCTCGATTCTATTACTACTGTGCCCTTCAGTGCGCATGTTTCTCAGTTTAAATGTTAGTATGTGATAAATTGATCCCATAAACTTGTTTTTGAACCTTACAAGTGACTTATATTAATGAAAAGACAAGTACATATTAAATATTCATCTACAAAATAGATTATCAGACGCTTAAATATAGTAACAAACTACTTTTGAACTGAAAAAAAGCAAAAGTGAACAGTGTGATATAATTGCAATGTGAAAGACTTTTTATGTTTTTATTTATTGAAGAAGGTACTTGCCTCATTTTTCTCTATAACAACAAATTATAGCTCATACACATTGGGGTATCAAAAGTAAATAAATAAACAAAATTGTGTAATGTTTTATAAAATTTTTGTTATAAATTAAATTACATTATCAAATATTATAAATGGCCCACAATTGTTCAATTATCATTTCGCATAACATACTTTAAATCTGTCAATGATATATGCACAATATAACCCACGTGCTTAAACTGTTTATAAATTACCTTCACTGTTACCAAATCTGACTTGTGTTTTTGATCCATCTTTGATAATTTCCACAATGTTTCCACCTCCAGGGCATTTTCTCAAAAAAGCACTCAATTTAAACTTGCTGTACACTGGAGGTATTCCTCTTATTTCAATTGACAATGTATCCATGTTTTAATATTGCAAAATTTAGGACATCTTTCAACCTGCTGTCTATTGCAATTTAAAAAAATGGCTAAATAGAAAATTAAATCTCTTTGTTTAGTATTAGAATAAAATGCAGACAAAACCCCTCTTAAACAGTACGGTATACCATCATTTCTTATAGAATATGTTTGAACTGTCTAGCATTTCCCTTTTTTGATTCAGTTGAAAGACATAACTATGACAGTGTTTTTACCATCCCATTCCCTCTTTATATACCATTGTCCCACATGTCCCAGTTACTCCACACTCGCATGTCATATTTTTACCCTGTCGGTGCTCGCGACAACTTTGACATATGTGACTGGTACAAGACTTGGAGATGTATTGATACCACTTTTGTCGCCGATACCGATATCAACTAAAAACGCCGATACCAATATTGCAAAAAGACCGATATTTCTGATACTCCGATACTATGTAAATATTACCTCAAGTGTGCAAAGCAGACGGTTAAAACAATATACACATTATTTCAGATTGAAAAAGAGATATATCACATAATAAGAAATTGATGTTTGGGATCCAGATGCAAAAATTGATTCAGATGCATTGTGCACTGACGCTAGTATTCTCGGTGTTCAATTAGAAAACTCATAGGCAGGGATGTTTAATTCGAAATTAATATTAAGATCGCGACCTTCAAATATCGATTTTCGTCCACACATTCTAGCGCTGCCGTCCTACGTTTTAATTGAAAACATTTTACAAATATTTTATTTTGTGTTTAATTGTAATCGTAGGATTTCAATCAGCGCCTACTTGAAGTATCTATAACACGTCGAGGATGTTTTTTATTTTGCTGTTTTATAATATTTTACAAATATTATCGTTTATTTTGGAATAGTCTAGGACAGGGTCGTCCAACCTTTTTTACCGAAGAGCCACATGTATTTTACTAATAATTGCGCGGGCCACTAAGTTAACATGATAGTTATGTTCTAGTTTTGCAACACTGACTACAGGTTAATGGAAAAAAAATACCCTCACATCAAACTTTCACAATTACTAGAACAATAAAACTGTGGTTATTCCCGAAAATTTCGCCAAGACGCTTGGTCATTTTTACAATAGCTCCCAACAAATCAATGCCTCTTGTCCACTGGTTCTCAACCAGTGGGCCATGGCCCACTGCTGGGTCATAGAGTCTTTTCAAGTGGGCCACAAGCCTATTAAAAATTACTACGGTTATTGAAAAGTTTGGTTTCATTTGTGTCATTATAGTCAAAGTCGCCAACTAGGGAGTAAACTTGATGTCAGTGCTTTCGTCAAGAGCCAAGGAAAACGGTGAAAATTTTACCGCTTTTGCAATTAAAGTCCGCTATAGAGTTCTCAATCTCAACACGACGAGTTATAGTCTTGACAGACTATTTTTGCAAACACCTGTTTTATTTCCAAACGTAAAACATTGGCAGCCCGAGCAATACATATTATACATTCCTTATCGAGTTCTCAATCCGAGAATGGCTTCGGTTGTTTTGCGATAACCGATACAGAGTTGTAAAAGACCAAGTGTGTAAGCGACTATGGCACTTTCATATATCGATACTGTATCTCCTCCCAGTTGGTTTCGATTCAAAATGGCACTCATGGCTCGTTTGAAAGGGCTGGCAGAGCGCATTTCAGGAAAATAAACAAATCGTTTGTATCACATCTTTGTATAATACATCACTCGAAAAATAGTTTGACTCAATTTTTTTTATTCAATTCTGAAAAATACAACTCGGGCCACTCGAAATGCTTCCGCGGGCCACATATGACCCGCGGGCCACAGGTTGGACGACCCTGGTCTAGGGTCTAGGCGGCAACGTCAATAAATATATACGAAAATTGTGTAGTTGAACAAAATTAAAATTAATGAAATCACAATATTTGATACCTGTGGAGGGATAATTGTGTCGGAATTTAGCTTAGCGATGTCGATGTACTAAATGACACTCGCGCTTGACGATAAACAGTCAGAATTTATAAACGTGCCAAAACGTGCATGTTAAATAAGGACATAGATTCCACTGTATGATTTAAAACTGGGCACCCAGTTGCTCTTTTTTCTGTGCTGTGCTGATATATTTCTTCATAATTACTATGTATTAAAAATGTCAATATGAAAGTTTGACAGCGAAAATAGCCAAATTAGTTGAGCTAGTTTGACTGATAAATAGCTAAAAACAGGTGAATCCTACTCTTGTTTCTACTTGCAGGGATGGGGACACGCATGGCTCATACTTCACGATCCCCCCCAAAGCAAAAAAATAATAATTTAAAAATCAGTATTTTAACTTAATTTTTAAAACATTCTGGATCCTAACAAAAAGGTAAATATATCGGAAATATCGGTCTTACATTTGCCGATACCGATACTTGAAACTGAGTTTACTTTATGAGCAAAATCAATTTTTTTGGATGATGCTCTGCGAAACAAATCGCGACTTAAGATTTATCGAGATTGCGAAAAGAGGAACAGGTTTTAGAAATTGTTGTGATAACTGTCTTTCCGATCGACAAATGTTCCGCCTTGAAGCATTTTAATCTGGGGCATTGAGAAGTCGTCAGCTCAATCGCCACGGAATTCAAAATAACAAGACAAATCCTGACCCGAAAAGTCCCTAAAAAATAGAATTTTGATTAAAATTTAGTCTAGCTTAGAAAATGCGTATACTTCCTGAAAATTACAAACATACGAGGTGAAATGTACAGCACCACCAGCAAATATATATTTGCTTTTCTAAATCTGGATAGCTTTTATAATTAAAATAAATAAAAACATATTTTTATGGACGCAATTGGCCTGTAATCATAATCAGTAATAAATATTTTAGATATGACAAATAATAAATTTGAATTTAACAGGAAACATTTGCTGAAAGTCTTTAATTATTCACTGATGATAAGATTGGGAAGTCACTTTCATAAGCTAAAAGGCCATTAGCCGTTCCGAAATTTCAAAACTCAAAACCATAAAAACGTATCAAAGTTGTTTCTTCAAAGGCTATTTGTGATTGTTCGCCCACAAGTGCAAATATTGCTTAGACGTATAAAATATTCACGCAAACGGTAATCAAAACAACAACAACCTACCTTTTCAAATAATGACTTCAAGCGTGGCTCAAAGTTGTGTCATTCTGCCTCACAATCTTAATATGATGAAGTTATTCGCTACACAACCCCGGTGAATTACCGCGGTGTTCGCTGTAGAAACTCACGGGGCTTGTCGTTATCGCTCAACAAGAATTAGGAAATCTAATATAAATTTTGATTTATTGTCTCAGCCCCTTTCATATTCTGAACAAATATATATATATATTTATGTAACTTATTATGATGAATTCTAAAATAGGACCGATGTTCCCAAACGTAATTCGATACGGTGTCGACGACAAAAGATTTAAATGAGACATGACAGAGTAGAAGGTTGCCAAAACCACTAATCAAGCTGTTTGTTGCTCATCTCATATATAAAACTTGCGTTGAACTCAATGCGATATCCAAAGCCCAATATTCTGTAAAGGATATTTTACGGCAATAAGATTTGTCATTTTTGCGTTAATTTTTGATACAAAATGTTAACTAATTGATACCCAAGCAATGTACAGTATTAGTTAACACCAGGAAGCTATCTCTCATGCGATATAACCTAAAAACGCGTCAACTAATGAATTTGGTATAACAATAACCGACTTATTGGTGAGCCGATCTCACAAAATGAGGAACTCATAAAAATACGTGGGCGTAATACGTAACGCTTCGCTAGCCAAATTGAATAACGAGGAACGTTGTGTAACCATTGAGGTGTAACCTCAATGTGTGTAACCGATATTTCGTCCTATAGGTTCAGCAAATGTAAACCTATGTGCTGTATTTACGAAACTCAATGTATTCAAAAGTTAGTGAATATTGTCGCATATTTTGTATTCTGATCCAAAACCTAACATTTTATTGGTATTAATTGGACTTGTATATGCTTTCGTAGAGCCAACCAACTGAAAAAAATAAATTTGTGTGAGGACGCCATAGAGGGCAGTTATAGATTTCTCGTGAGCGACATTTTTCCTGATTTGTGTCAAATTATGAACAATAATATTACTCTTAAAATCGCTCGTGTGTCATAACGTAATATAACTCAATGGATGTAAAAAATTATTGTACGCTTTGAAAGTATAGGTGGCGCCTCTGACGTTGGCAATATATTTTATTCCATTTGATGATTGCGACGTCGGCTCACGCCTGGCCGACCCCAAGCGAAGTCTAGCTTAGAAAATCCCTATACTCTCTGAAAATCACAAACATACAGGGTGGTAGGTACAGCAGCACATGCATATATAATCTGCTTTTCAATTCTGTATAGCTTATATAACTATCAAAAAGTAAAAACATATTTTGTATGGACGAACTTCCTCACACGAAATTTTTACAGCCAATTGGTCTGTTCTCGAAATCAGTAATTTTACTACAAAAATATTTTAGATTTGACAAATTAAATATTTGAATTTAACTAGGAAACAGTGGTATGTATACCTCATTACTCCAAAATTGCATGCGGAATGTCTTCAATTATTTATTGATGTTAGTTATAAGATTGAGAACGTACTCTCATCATCTAAACTAAAAGACCATTAGACGTTTCCAGATTTCAAAAATCAAAACCATGAAATCGTATCAAAATTTATTCTTCAAAGTCTTGCTCAGTTGTATGAGATATTTCTGCCAACGGTAATCAAAATAACAACCACCTTTTCAAATCATGACTATAAGTGTTGCTCAAAGCTATGCCATTCTGCTTCACAATCTTAATATGAGGAAGTTATTCGCTACACAACCCCAGTAATTTATACCGGTATTCGCTGTGAGGGCTCGCCGTTATCGCTCAAGAAGGGAAAGAAAACCCAATACTAATTTTGATTCATTGCCATAACACCGTTTTCATATTCTATTCTAATATATATCTTTTTAGGCATATCAAATATATACCTGATCATAGTGAATTCTAAAATAGGACCGATGTTCCCAAACGTAATTTGATACGGTGTCGACGACAAAAGATTTAAATGAGACATGAAAGAGTCGAAGGTTGCTAAAACCACTAATCAAGCTGTTTGTTGCTCATCTCATATATAAAACTTGCGTTGAACTCAATGCGATATCCAAAGCCCAATATTCTGAAAAGGATATTTTACGGCAAGAGGATTTGTCCCTCTTGCGGTAATTTTTGATACAAAATGTTAACTAATTGATACTCGAACAATGTACAGTATTAGTTAACACAAGGAAGCTATCTCTCATGCGATATAACCTAAAAACGCGTCAACTAATGAATTTGGTACGATCTCATAAAATGAGGAAGTCCTAAAAATACGTAGGCGTAATACGTAACGCTTCGCTAGCCAAATTGGTAACGAGGAACGTCGTGTCACCGATATTTCGTTTTATAGGTTTAGTGAACGTAAGCAGCTTAGATGATGTATTCACGAAACTCAATGTATTAAGAACTTAGTGGGATGCTTGTAGCAATATGAATTAAAAATATTATCGCTTATTTTTGTATTCTGATACAAAACCTAACATTTTATTTGGTATTAGTTGAACGTGTAGGCTATATGCTTTCGTAGAGCCAACCAACTGAACGAAATAAATTTGTGTGAGGACGCCATAGAGAGCAGTTATAGATTTCTCGTGAGCGACATTTTTCCTGATTTGTGTCAAATTATAAACAATATTATCTCGCTTTTCATCGCTCGTGTGTCATAGAGTAACATAACTCAATGGGTGTAAAAATTATCTTACGCTCCGATTGCGACGTCGACTCACGCCTGGCCCATCTCAAGCGAAGTCTAGCTTAGAAAATCCGTATACTCTCTGAAAATTACAAACATGCAAGGTAAAATGTACAGCAGCGCCTGCATATATAATCTGCATTTTCAATTCTGTACAGCTCATTTTACTTTAAAAAGTAAAAACATATTTTATATGGACGAATTTCCTCACACAAAATTTTTACAGCCAATTGGCTTGTCCTAGAAATCAGTAATTTCACAACAAAATTAATATTTGAATTTAACTACGAACAAGTGGTGTACCTCATTATTCCCAAATTGCATGCGGAATGTCTTCGAATATTTACTGGTGTGAGTTATAAGATAAGAAATCAACCTCATAAGTTAAAAGGGCCGTTTTCAAAATTTATTCTTCAAAAACTTGCGGTAGTTCGTCATCCACAAGTACGAATAATTCTCAGTTGTATTAGATATATACGCAAACGGTAATCAAAACAACAACCACCTACCTTTTCAAATCATGACTGTATGTGTTGCTCAAAGCTGTGTCATTCAGCCTCACAATCTTAATATGAGGAAGTTATTCGTTACACAACCCCGGTGAATTACCGCGGTATTCGTTGTAAAAACTTACGGGACTTGTTGTTGTTCGCAAAGCGTAATCTTATAAGGTGTCGACCACAAAAGATTTGAAATTGAATTAATTTCTGAAACGACTAATCAAGCTGTTTGTTGCTCATCTCATACACAAAAAACTTGAAGTAACTCAATAAGATAAGATCAACATACCGCGATTCTGAAAACGATATCTTTCAACAAGCGGATTTGGCATTTTTGCGTTAATTTTTTATGCAAAATGTTGATTAATTGATGTAGTCAACCAACGTACAGTACTGGTTTAACAAATGTAAGCTATCTTCCATTCGATATTACCCAAAAACGCGTCGACTGTTGAATTTGCTATGACAATACCCTACATACTGGTGCGCCGATGCCATAGAATGAGGAACTCGTTTGAATAGATGTAGGCGTAACACGTAACGCTTCGCTAGCCATATTGAATAACGAGGAACGTTCTGTCGCCGATATTTCGTCTTATAGGTTTAGCAAATGTGAGCTAGGATGCTGTATTTATGGAACTCAATGTATTTTGAAGTTAACTTAAAGTTGAGGCTTATAGCAATATGCGTTAAAATTATTACCGCTTGTTTTTTTGTATTCTGAGTCAAAACCGAACTTTATATTCGGTATTAGTCGGATCTGTAAATGCTTTCGCTCGTAGAATCAAGTACTAAACGAATTAAATATTTTGTTTCAATTGGTGATTGTGACGTCGGCTCACGCCCGACCTCACGACCGAAATTCAACCTTTTTTTTTTCAATCTGACTTACATCAAAGATGATAGAAATAATGAGGTTGTTACTATTCGATATGGTGCGGTCGACTCTTTTTAAAATCGAAACTCTTCTCTCGTTGGGCTTCAAGTATAAAATATCTACAAGAGTATTCGGGCAGAACGTCTGTGCTTGAAATGAGAAACTATCGTTGTTCAAATACTTCGTGAGCCCAGAAAACTGCAAATACATTGGTGCAATAGGTTTAAAAAGTATACGATATTACTTAGATATATGTAACGAAATTTTGCTTGTTTTCACTTCAATAATCACTACTACGTGTAAGGTTAGCTGGGCTTTTATCAAAAATGTCGAAATTGTCGCCGAATCGGAACAGTAGACGACGTCGCGTTCACCAAATGGTAAAACCCCAGAACAGAAAGCTTTTTCGTTGTACGGTACGGTATGCTTCATCGTCAGTACGGTATATACATGTGTCGTTAAGTCAGCAGGTTGATATACTAAACTGTAAAATGGGAGTATAGGCTTATTTCATTTTGATTTTATAGGCTTGAGGTTATATGTCAGGGGATTGGATAAATATGAATTGGTTAATAAAAATATTGTTGTTATGTGAATGACAGCGAGATATGTCTTGTCGTAACATTTCGAATCGAGATGTTCACAGGTATATAGCATAGGTAGCACCATGAATACAATTTCCGGTTAGAATTGTCCGAAATAGAACCAATTCCGAAATATTCAACTCAAGTATTCCCATTGATCACCACAGTGTGATATTTTCTGACTGGATTAGCATAGGAGCCAAAGTTATACGTACTCAAATTTCTGAAGTCGGACTACCCACTCAGCGTCTGTAACCAGGGTTTGCCAACGTCGAAATGTAAATGCTTGAGAACTTATAGAACAGTGGCTCCCAACCTTTCATGCCTCGTGTCCCTCTTCCGGGCGCTTTTAGCACTCATGGCCCCCCTGTTCATCATTCCAGTGATATTTATAGCGATATTTCGATTGGTTCATTACAAATCCTATTATGTTCAAACAATTCAATACACAAAAAAGTGAAAACACCCTGTAAAATAACCTTATCAAGCAATAAAACTAGGAAGAACTAGGTGTTTTCCTGTAAAGTGAAAAGTAAATCTTGCGCTTAGCATAGTGGCCTTCTTCAACTGCATGTACTTTGGCCTCCTTGGGGAGGTCACGGACACCGGCCAGGAACCGACGTTATGAAACTTGGAAAATTTTAAAAATTTATATCACCGCGGAGTGGATAGTCGAATCCGCATTTGGATTTTTTGGTGGTTTGGAGTCAGTAGATATTTCCTTTGACTCAACTTCTTTGTCTCGTAGCTTTTTCTTCCGTGGATTGTCGTAGATTTCCTTACAATGCAATATTTTTCCGGTCCAAAACAGAGGATAAAAGGATTTTTATTACTCAAGATTGTTTGCATAGCAATTGTGTTATAGCGCATTGCTGGTTAACAGTCAACATCATTTTCCAAATTCGACAACTTGTTATGTTTTCTATAAAATTTCTCTTTTTATTCAGTGCCTTCATTATTGAATCTATATGATATACATACCAAGTAAACTGAAATGCCCGGTAAACGATATAAATTAGATTGTCATCCAGAAATAGTCCGTTTTTTACAACTAACTCCTCAAGGTCATGGTTGGAAGTTGTGGCTTGTGCGTCAAGACATTCAATTCCATTTGGATTTTAGAAAATCGGAATCCTTTTATGTACGTATATGTAATTGATCCATGGGTATACATAATGTACTTGAAGTAGTATAACTCTGTAGGAACAATCATTAATTTTAATAAACTTAGAAATTGAAGTAGATCTATTTTGTGGATAAAAACTGAGGTGCGCAGATGAATCAATATCTGTGTTAAAAACTGTTTCAGGTTATACGAAATCCACGAATAAACCACAAATTCTTTGCCGACGGTGTCAAACTGTATGCTCCGTATTTCGATTATGCAGAACGTGTTTTTGATGAGGAAAAAATCACTTGGGCACGTGGCCTATCGGATTTGCATCAAAATGAATTGCAGTTTCATTCCGGTAAACTGGACATGAATGATGATGTATATATAAGGTATACAAATTTACCAATAATGCATAAATATTCTGTACATTATTCGAACCAATTGTAACTTGCATTGCTATAACACATCCTACTTCAGGAACTGTCACTAATACTTTTTAGGGTCTAAAAAGGCACCAAATGAGCAATAAATAGCAATCGATCTTTAATTTATGTCCAAAACATCAGTTTTTGCCAAAAAACAATAAACTGTGGGGCAAAATGTATAATGTTCATAATTTATTATACTCTAGGTGGTCTTCGCCATACAAAGTTCATATATCAGGTGTAAAAGATAAAGTAACCCTGAAAGTCCGCCAAATAAAGTCGTTAGTGTTCTCAGAAACTGTCTGTCGTACCTTTCTTCCGTCATTATATAGGTATGTAATAAATAACAATAAAACATTTTTGTAACTATACGATGCCATATTTTTCACGTTCTTGCATTTTGGGTTTACAATATTTTTACTTCAGAATTAAACCTCCATCAGAAATTAAAAACTTCATTGAAGCGGTCACACAGATTGTTTGACTTTGTTTTGTAGGTTTGGACACTCAACACGTTTATAGTCGTAAAATTTGTTTCAACCTATTTATTATACAACTCGTATTGAACCAAATAAATGGTTTTATTCTTCAACGGCTTACCTATATACATAAAAATATAACATTTCTCATAAATGATTTAAATATATAGAATATTATCAACCGAAGGAGTTTTTAACGAATTGTCAGAAAAGTTTGGCAATGAACTTCAGATTGAAAAGGTTCGAAAGAACGAAGTTGGTTTCACGGGAAGCAAAACTCATGTTGCTGCGGCATCTGCATTTCTTACTAAAAAATCTCAGGTAAGTGGGCTATGTAGGTCAAATGCGATGTGACCCCAAAACGGGTAGACAGCTGTTTTCAGTACTCAGTTAAAAACTTAAGTTGACATAGGTGTGACGGGAGAATGAAGAAATTAGCAGTGTCGGACATAGTTTCAGTTGGCATATTTGATTTTGACGCCCCGTTTAAACGCCATGACCTACTGCCTCACTTGAAGTTTAGTATAATTGGGTAGGCAAAAATTAACTGAAATGACTGCGTTGCTCACAAAACGTAATCTTCTTACCTTTTTTTTGCCTGTATTTTGAAAATACTCTGGATAATACCTTTACTATTCAATAGGAAATCAACAAACTACCGCTTCAATTGCATCCTTATAAACTGAAGTATTTGAAATTGCTGTTAGACGAAGGAGATTTCTCTACATTGGAATCGATTGAAATGGTGCTTCGGGATTGCGGGTTGAAAGGTACAATTTGTATTGTTGAGCTGGATATATGTAACGTAAATTTACGTTGTATAGTTGGAAGAAGGATAGAGGCAAATGTTGAACATAACAAAAACAAACAGGAATTGAATTTTCATTCACACCATCTTCTTAATGTTGCTAATAGAATTGATAATTCGTGTACTATACAAAATTCTCTATCTATCATTATTTATTTCGGATTTCTAGGTTGTTTTTCTCTTGATGGAGATGAGGTTGTCTTTGTCACAATGCTGTCAACGGAGAGAATTAGACACTTAACGTTATTATTAGACCTAAGCATAGAATTCAGTAACCTAGGCGACACAAGCTTTGGGAAAAAAATTGATGAGGAAGGTGAATGGATTTGCAGAAAAAATGAGATTTTGAACCAATTTAATGTCCGTTTGATTGTACCCGTAAGTTCCATAATATTCTATTTACTAAATGTACTTTTTTGTTTTAAAGTAACCTAAAATTAATAATAATTGATATCTAATCGGAAAATAACCCAGATTTCAAATTCAGTTGCCTTTTGCACTACGAAGATTCGTGGAGAGCCGTGCTCGGAGCAAATTCAATACGACAATATTGGGCCTATGGTTTAGCAGGCGAAGATGTATTCGAGAGTAGACAACTATCACTATCATTAAGAATTGACCGTTGTTTCATCTCGAATATGCTGCTTTTGAGAAAACATAAACTTGTAACATTTAAATATATTGTTTACCATTCACCAGGAAAATCAGATCATTGCGGGAATGCGACTAGAAATACAGAAGTGCATTGAAGAATTTGATCAGTATGATTCCGAACTAATTATAACTCCAACTCCAGTACTGTGTAAATATATGCTCAAAATAAAAGAGAAAATTATTCAAGAATGCCAAGCCGACCATGTTGACGTTATATCTTCAGACCCCAACAAGATTTACATCAAAGGAAGAACGAATGATGTTCGAAACGGTGCGAAAATTGTGACAAAAAAAGAAAACTAGTTCCCAATAAGCCAACTATATGACAATATTTTCTATCTCTAGTGCGCCTTGGTATTACTCAAAAAGCAGATTGCTTGGTGCAGAAACATTTTGAAATTCATAACAAATCATGTTTGCAATTCCTCCAAGATACTGGAATGACAATATTGGAAGATATTGAAAACGAATATGGATGCTGCATTGAAATGTGTGAAAAAGTCGAGGAAATTGAAGATGTACCCAGTCAAACGGTAAACCCGTCTGTTTATCTCTCTTTTTTTCGTTTTATTTCAATTTATACATGGTTATTATTTCATTGAAGGAAGCATTCAATCCAAATGTTTTGAAGTCATTGAGACTATCTACGGATGGTGGATTGGCGGTTGAAATTCAATTATTCCGAAACTCTAATTTTCTTTCCCATCGATGTGACGTTATGGTGCATCCATACAATCCTGGAGGGGGATTATCTGATCGGTTTTTAGATAAAGGTGGGTGTGATATACTCATACATTCCAGTATTTATCAGTCTTAGTCGCAACAGTGCTTAAACAGACTCGTGACCCCGCCCGCTGAACATGACTAAAATATTAGCGTGTATTACACTATAGTTAGTCGTTATTTGAACAATAGTAATGAAAGCAAATTGTTGTTGTTGGGGGTTGGAGTTTTTTTTGTGAATTAAACATTTTTTCCCAACAACTAGGCCAATCGATTTTAAATTTTCAGGTATTTTAACTTTCACTGATTAATATGGAAATCGATATTTCATCCCATCCTGCAGATATTTTTATTCAACTCGGTGCTCAACTAAATCTTTATCGGAAGCAAAGCGCGACCTTCGTGTCCTTACATTTGAGCATTGCTATCTCGTCTTTAATTAAGATTTTTCTTTTCAGTGGGAACCGCAATTACTGATAAAGTAAGAAGTTACATGAGGCAAAATCCTTCACGGATTAATCCACTGCTGACAGAATCAGGAAACATAAGTTGTTGGCGTCACATAATCCATACCCAGTATCCAAGGTAATTATGTCAAGTTTTTTTACCAGATTTTTTCATTTTTATGTAATGTAAATAAATCTCAATATCCTTATATTTACTACTGTTAGACACTTCGTTCGACACCTTGCTAGGCACGAATCATATTGCACACCATGTCAAACTAGCCCGCAAATTTTTTGACTCGGTGCTTAGCATATTCTGCATTGCTCTCTTTTTTCGGTGTTGTGAAGCAAATTCATCCGAGGAAACGTCAGTTAAAATATTTAACGCTTTTTGACTTTATCAGAATTAAAACAAACAGACTGAATTATGTATCACAATTTGCTTAGAACTACATTCGACAACCAAATACCATATTACCAAACGTACATTCTGATCGCATTGTACCGATGACTCGTAGGTCACGAAGTTGGGGACTGCTTCAATTCTATCACATGGTCTATTCAAATGCATTAGTAAGAGAAAATATTTTGAAAAAGCATATGAAATACTGCATATACCGTGAGCACATTGGGTGACTCATATAGCTACAAACCTTGCTCAGAATGTATATCATAGCGACACTGCCAAATACTCTATCATTGGTCTCTTCTTAACTTACATGAGCCTTTTCGCTTCTGAGTGAAATTCTAACTTTTGCAAACTACTTTATCTATATATAAGCTGACATCTCATAGAATAATTAGTCGACATGTTCGCACATTTTAATATTGCTCGTGCCAAAAATACTTAGGTTGAATACTTAGGTTTTAGAAAATTCTAAAAATATAGGGCATTGATTTATATGTTTTACCCGAAGCCACAAAATATTACTTCAGTTAGTTCTTCTTATAACAGATCGACATCTAATCAATGTGAATCTGACAAACTGAATCAATGCATATCGAATATATTCACGATTTGTGAATGTAAAAAAGCTGGGACGGTTGCAATAATATTGGAAGCAAATGGTTTAATGGATTTAAGATCTGTGATGCTTTCTGTTGCCAGATATATCACAGAAGACACTCCATTGTTTCTTAAACAGGTTGGAGAATCCCTTTGGTAATCTTTTGATTATTTTAGGAGATTGTTTCCGCAGAAAATCTCTTTCTGACTACCAGACTTTCGAATTTCTAGTATAATTATAATTCTAGCGTATCATTTTCACTCTGGCTGTTTTGAGACACGTTTTTGTTGTACTCCAAAGTTGTCTCATTTTGAAAAGCTGAGCTATTAAACGGGTATCCCGCAGACCGCGTGCCTGTTCCACCCGATTGGTTTCGACGTCGTCTACGTGTATATTTTTGGTCACATCTATTGCTTGAAGTAATATTCAAGTAAGAAAGAGTATAGTGTATTATATAATGCAACAGATTTAAAAATATAGCTGTATATTTCAAAGACGGCTACTTCGTATACTAAAATAGGATCAAATTTTCTGCCTAAATAATGGATCAAATTATCAAATAGCAACTTCATATGTATTGCAAAATCATCCAGAGTTATTCTTATCCCCGCACAAAGGATATCAATACAGTATCACTACTTGAGGGTTCCATTACATTTGAACCCACGACAATTGCACCTGTATACTATTGCACCTATGAAAAAATATTTTTTATGGATATTTGAACCCATACTAACCCTAACCCAGGGATTTTAGCACCCGCATATGGATTGAACCCGAGGATATACCGGTGCAAATGTATGGGTTCAAATGTACGGTCACTATACTTAGGCTTAATCGTACGGGACTTGATTATTTATTCTTAAAAAACGTTTTTGCAGGTACATCTTCTTGTTATTAATTGGGATATGAAAACTTTAATGGAAGAATTTTCCTCAATTGAATCGGAGATATCACGAGCTTTCAATGCGAAGAAGATATCTGAGGGTCTCCCACATTACGAAACTAAAACTGTTGTGCTGCAGCGAGTCAAAAATGGTTTCTCACATCACATCTTTCCTAGTGGTCAGCCGACAAAAATCTCCTGGATGGAGTATATCAGGAAACGTACTCTTACTGCCATGGAACTAAAGTCAGCGTAAGTTCAGTAACAATTGTGTAGTAATTTTTTTTTAGGAACGATCGTGGAACGGCCGAATGTTGGGCGATTTTTAATTTTGAAGACGCCATCACACCAAAATTCTACTTGAAAAACGAATAAAAGGGATAGCATCCTAACGACAATGATAACCCCTACTGAAAATTTCAACGAGAAAATGATTTTTACAATTACCAGTAAAAAAGGGGGATACTAATAACAACAACAATACAATTACATAACAAAACGATCCTATAGGTCCACTTCGTCTCAAATAATTCTTGTAATATGATATAAAGTAAAACGCTGTGATTAGCTTTATATGGTAGATTAATATACCAACTCTTGCATATACGTAAATGGTGAATAAATAAAAATGACATCTGATACAGAAAAGGGTTTATTTTTGTCTGCCTTGAAGTCGGTTGGCTTTTTACCCATAAAATGATATATAAATGAAAATATACCAAGTGTGTATTACATGATTCAGTGAATTATTTGCAATTCCTTAAAGATGAAGTCCTAACGTTTTATTAGATCTGCAAGATTTCACATACCGTCTACTGAGAATTCAGCGGAAATAGCTCAATGGACAAAAGAAGCAATTGAACAATGTGAAGGAATGTTTCCATCAAAGTTTATCCTATCTATAAACAATGGAGACATGTCTTCGGTATCGGTGAGCTTCTACCCTTTACATCGTGCCTAAATTCTTTCTAGTTGCTTTTTCAATAAACTTATTTATTATACATGAAGTCATTTGAAAAAACATTTCTCGGAATTCAAGACGACTTTAAAGGAAATAACAAAAAGCCACAAAATGAAATTAAAATTGGAGAAATAAAAATCACTGTAAAAACAGGGGATATACTTGAAGAAGATACCGATGCTATAGTAAACAGCACAAATCGTAACTTCAATTTAAATCAAGGTGAGAATTTCTTTCCTTGAAGTTGTGTTTATTGAGTATTTATGAAATTGCAAATTGTAGGTCCATTACTTCATCTGTCTCAATTTTACATAATCATGCTATTTATTTTGCTCTGTTTCGGTTCCACGTAGTCTACTATCCATAAGTCATAATCAAGAGCAATGGAAGTTAATGTTCCAGAGGTGGGCAAGGTTTTTGGACCAGGGGCCAGAAATTCTGCCCACCTAGACTGGCGGGTCATGTAAGTGTGACGTAAAAAGTTACATTTCATTAACAATATTTACAATGTTACAAAAGCTAAAGTGGAAAACAATAAGCCTCGTGCCAAAACTAAATTTAATCGTAATCCCAACAAATTCCTTGAGTTTTTTCTAGCTAAAACATCAACATGTTGTTTTAGTTTGATTGTGGCATCCTCGGGCGGGCCAGATTGAGTTACCCAACGGGCCGGATTTAGCCCGCAGGTCGTAGTCTGCCCATGCCAGTAATCGGTATAGACGCTAAGAGCGTATAGTAATAGCTGGCTGAAGTCGATCATTAGAGAATCCACGTTTTAGCACCTTTTTGTGAAATACAAAAGATTTCAAACAGGCAATTTGAAACCTCGAAAAATTTGAATTGATATATTGTACAATTAGTAGCATTTCAATTTATTACCAATCTTTATGAAGAAAAGCACTTCCAGTTCCTATAAAAACACAATCGAACATATTAAAATAAAAGAATACATTTTCATTTGTTACGCTTAAAAATCTGATCTGTCTTGAATTAAAAGTCGGAAATTTGGTAATTTGATTCAAAAAAATTCCATTTCCCATTGTCTACAACAGGAGCGTTGTCCAAACGGATTCTACATGAGGCGGGGAGAGTCATTGCTACAGAGTGTTCTTCGATAAAAGAAAAAGGAATTCGGGTCACCGGGGCAGGTTCATTGAGATGTAAAAATATAATTCACGCTGTAGTAACCTCGAATGAAGACGAATTGAAACAAGTTATCATAAAGATTTTAAAGGAAGCAAACCAATTACATTTGAAGTCGCTGTCAATACCTGCGATTGGAACCGGTAAGTTCCCAATCTTTGTTGAAAGGATATTATTCTCGATTCGAAATATCCACGATGGGATTTATAATATACCGCTCAATCTCCACTTGACGAATTATCTTTCAAATTGTTATTTTAATTATAGGAAACCTGGGACTGTCCAACAAATCTGTTGCAGAGAAGATGAGAGAAGCGGTCGAACACTTCGTTGTAACTACGGATGAAAGAATAATACTTCAAAGTATCAATATTGTACTTATGAATGAGGCAACAATGAACACATTTATCAAGCAAGTTGTGGACAAGCCATACCTACGAAGTACGCAAACGATACAACTCATTGCAAGATTAAAATTATTGAGCCGCTCCATTCATAAATATTATTCTTTCCAGAGACTACACTAGAAGAGACTGTTTCGCAAATTATAGTCGAATTGTTAATGATGATTATGGTGTTCTTAAGTTCATTGTTTACATGGATATTTGAAGCCGCAAAATATGCAATTGTTTCAGGTATAAATCAATTTTGGTGTTATACGCTCGTTCACTTTACCCAACTAATGATTTATCATAAATCCAAAATATTGCAGCTTACAACAACACCAAAAGCGACTTTTATAGAGAAGTAGAAGTTGACTTCAGGCCAAGGATTTCCTTCTGCCACGAGAACAGAGAAGTAATCGATAAGGTATGTTTTTTTTATCCAAAATCCTATGCTGTTAACGCTCATCAGTATTACTAATCCACGGAATATGAAAATGGGGCCTTCCACAAATTTTTGGACAGAACATTTCGCCTTTCTTTTCAACTACTAGTTTCGCGGATCAATAAACGTCGATGAAAACAATAAGACTTTGGTATTCTTATATAGGCAATGATCAAGTTGAGGGACGTAGTACTGAAGAACAAAATGGTAGTCACGGTGCATGGTGTTACAGGTGACAATTTGACCGAATGGGATAAGTGGAAGATAAAAAGCTTGGAGAAACAGCTGCATGTTCGTATATTGGTCAGAAAGTAAGCTTAATTTACTTGTACGACGCCCGAATAAGAATTAGGCAGAAAAAAACTTCCTCTGATTACTAAATGGTGGAATCGCTGGCAGGTCTCTCTGATCTCAGCAAAAACTAAGGTTGGCCTCTTAATTGTGCTGGCAGATTTGCATTATCTGAATGCATACTTCACCTGTCGAAATTGATGTTACACTTGTGTATAAAATATTGCTGCCTGCCATACCAGCATGCTAAGGATATGATTTCCTACCAGCATGTCTTATCCTTTGCGCCCCCAGATGAAAGCCTCCAATCTATGCACTAGTAACTAAACACCCGAACAATCCCACGTCCCACTAACCGATGCCCACAAGTTAGTACGCTGCAATTTTCCAATTTATACTGGTCACAGACACGACTAGTCCGAAATAGAATATAAAGCGTCAACAACTAAATACACAATACCTACCACCCCCCCAAGTAGATTGCATCAATCGCTCCAGCGAAAAGAAAATTCGAGAGCGGCGCCAAGGCAAGAAAAATACGACGTCACTTTATTACATCATAGTACGTAAGGACTCAGCGGAATCATGACGTGGACTAATCTTTCAAATTCAACATGAACCTGGCCTAAATACAAAACACAGAGTTAGAATTATAAACTAAACAGTTCAATAAAATAGATCTACAAGCATTTCGTATAATATTGGGCTGTTGAAAATGTTATTATTCACCTATCTGTTTACTGAAACGTAGTTTCAAATAGCTGGCCGTTAATCGCTGTTCTTGTCATCTTTGTTGCAAGAATAACCTGCGCTATTCTCGCGTCGGTAGTCGCTGTCAGACCAAATTCCATCAGCTTCGAGTTATGTGGTTGGGACCTCAGCAAAGATTACACCCTATACAAGCAATATAACTATAGTATATTTTATAAATTATTTTTATACCCTATATCAAAATATTAATACATTTAGAAGGTAACTAACAGCTGATTTTCACATGCATTAGGAATTCAGGAATACTAATCGAGGGATTCGGAAATAATTCGTCAGTGGCTAAAAAAGAAATCGAAAAAATGTTGGATGAACGCAAAAAATACACTGAGTTGAAAGTTATGTGGATGAGAGGCTTTGATGGAAATTGGAAAAGATTTGATCAAAGAATAAGTCACATGTTGGAAAAAGGTTTTGAGGTTATTGTCCTTTTTCTGCGCTTTTTGTTTCAGGTGAAATCTTTTTGCCAAACTTTCGGCAGTTTGTATTACAAAATGACAGAAATAGGAAAAAAAATCGAACAAAGGGTTGGACAACCTAGTCACCAGCGCAAAAACTAGGAGTTCCTAGGAGTACGAGACATTTTTGGCAGCTTGTCCAATTTATTACATTCTGTGTGATAACAGAAATACAGGATGTTTCAACGATTGACACTTAATATAAAAATTCACAGCTTTATTTAATTATATTAGAAACGTGAAGCAACGGTACACGTACAGGATTTTGTTTCAAACTATGTTGTTGAATATGACATCCATTTTGCGGATATGTGCAGTTCTCTGACTTCGACGGAAGCTTCATTGCGAAGAACTTGCGACGACTCAAGCAAACTAGACCCAGGTACAGCACGATGATGAATGATTTGAGACTAGCCGTAACGGAATGCATATTTTTTGTAACGAGTTTCACATCTTAGCTCTAAACAAAACTCTATACTTATACATAGGTTCCTTCTACGTTTGGTGGACATGTGAATTATAAGGTATATCACCAGTCTGCTGCCCATTTCATTCTGAAAAACTTCTGAATCTGTTTTACATTTCTTAAAAATGAATCTAATTTTTACCAATAAATTTATCATTCTTTAATAATTAATTTATCAATAATATTCTTTTTTATTAGACTTGCCAAACGAATGGGAAGGTGTGGGAAATGTGCCAATTTCGATTCCACTGGATTCAAAAAGCGTTGAATTCGTGCAGGTACAAGAAAAAGTATCAGAATTAGCTCCGCTTCTTCAGATCGTATCGGTGAGTTCACAGCATTTAAAATTTCTCTTGTTTTGATCTTATCTTTATTTATTTAATTCGGATAAACTTTTATCCAGGTGCAAAGAATACAAAATAAAACGTTATTCAAGCAATATAAGGCGAAAAAAGACGAACTTTTCCATAAACATTCCGACAGGAAAGATGGGATCATCCTCAAACGAACTCTATTTCATGGCACATCAAACGATTCCATCGACAAAATAATTAAGAGTGGATTCAATCGAAGCTACTCAGGAAAAAATGGTAAAGTTGACATGTTGGATAATCTTTTTTTCTATTTTCTATTCCAAATAAACTACATTCTGCACTGTTACAGCGACGCGCTTCGGTCATGGATCCTACTTTGCTGTCGATCCAAAGTATTCTGACAGATACACTCAAGCTGATGAAACAGGATTGCGTACAATGTTTATGGTGAACGTTTTGACTGGGGAGTTCACAAAAGGCAAAGAGAGCGACAAAGTTCTACCCATAAAAGCTGGTAGCAATGAAACATATGATAGTCTTGTTAATGATGTTAAAGTCCCTACTATATTTGTTGTTTTCCATGATTCGTCTGCATATCCGACCTATCTAATACATTATAGGCGAGTCAGGTACTAAAGTAGGAGTATGGATAATGGGCGGTAATTATTATGGGTCGTGAAATGACAAGTACAAGCATAATTATGTCAGTTTTGTTGTGTTGCATACTTTGTTTGATTGCTAGGTTGGTGGACCACGTGTTCACTATATATGTTGGTACCATAGAATAAAGAGCTTGCTTTGGTACCAACCTCCTTGAAATTGTAATGAGTTGTGGACGCTACATATGGTTCAGGAAAGATTTCGTTATCCTCAAAATCCTATCATTGCCTAATATTTTGAATCCTTGTTCAGGGTGAAGCTTTGTAATATTATATAAAATCCAACGTACGACAAATCAACTCCTAATTGCATTTTATTGTTTTGCAAACACGCCTATATGCGTCTGTGTAACAAAATCTCCAACTTGATAAAAAAAAAAAAAACTATGGCAATGTTTTCTTTACATCAAAATATAGATTTTACTATGTTGTATCAAGTCTTTTTGGTGGTAAATTATGATAAGGTAAAAATGGACATTTTATATCTATTGAATTACTTTCAAAATTAGTTAGTCCTTATGAAATCATATTCCTAAACTGTATATGGGATACGGTTGGGTGGCCCCACCCCACTTGTTAAACGCTGCAATGTTAAATATCAAGTTCATTTTGCATATATTCGTTTATCTTGAATTATTAAGCAGTTGTTAGTAAAATTGAAAAATCGAGAACAAATTTTAGGTTTAAAGTTGGCTTCATGTAACTTTGAAAATATCTGAAGTTGATAGTGCACTGCTACTACATCGGGTTATTAGCGGGGGTAGTGAGGCTTATGTTATGTAAATCATCGATCCTACAGCAAAATGTTCTGGCAAGGCGATGACAAACTAACTAACTTAAGATAGGTACTGTACTTTCCAATAAATAAATCATTTTTCTTCATTAAACCCATATCATGAGGGTACAATATTATGTTCATATGCAGCTATTCTTATTTTAATTTCTATCAAATCAAACCTTGAGCTCACCAGCTCATGATGTGTTTTCCCTCCACCACCACCCACACACCCCTCAATTTTCAACCACCTGATTGAGAAGTGTGACTTTAAATCTTCACTTAGTATATGATTATGTTTGAATATCCAGAGAGTGGCGGCAGAGATGGTCGGTCAAATACATAAAGCATTTTTACAAGTTACAAATGGTCTACCCCTCCTCCGCACGCTAAAATGAAAAGCTGGGGAGCATACTGACTGCCTATGAAATAGTAGTAGACTATATGCCAAACTGGAAAATTTTCGACCATTACAGAAACATACTAGGTATCTGTATAATAGCCTTATTCGCAGCAAATGGAAAATCTCGGATATGTCATTTGGATATCTGTAGCAGACTTCTAATCTACTTGTATGTGTGCGCCAGCACGATAACATTTGTTCTTCGAAGAGAAGTATACTCACTTGACTGCTCAGCATTCAGCTTCATGGGTTGGCGAATCTTAGGGGTCGGTATAGATTTTGAGTGACAAAATGCTTTAATTGAATTAGCGTTTCGAAATCATTCCTTTCTATACTGTCATACGTCGCCGTCGCATATCATTATCATATAATTACTTTTATTGATTGTGCGTTTTGACTTAATTATCGTGTCATTAGTCTAAGTTCTGAGAACATGGTTGTTCATGTTAATTAGGTCTCAATGTTTAAGACTCATATATGTCCATAGCGTTGAAGATCTTTCAATTGCAAATATTACCAATTTATTTCGTGGGATTATATTTTGTGCCCACATACAGTGCGTCACTTGTGAGAAGCAAAGATCATCATAAGCTATATAATATATTAAAGACGCATCTATGACAATATATTTTAATTCTTTAATTAAAAATTCCCCGACTACTTCATGACATAATACAATTTTCCCCTCTTCGAATTACTCGTAATATACCTACATTATTTTCATTATTTATTAAAATTCAGGATTTCACCTGTTTGGTCATTTCGTGCATTCAGCAATAAAGTGTGCTATGTTAATAAAAAGGTTTATCAGTCACGTTATGTAATGAATCAATCAATTTTGATTCAGTTTTTAGAGACGGTATATAGACGCGAGTCACAAGTAATGAAATCATTCGATTCATCATTATTAGTAATGTTATTCGCGTTATATGTCAACAAGCTAATTTTAGTTTTTCTGTTTTATTTACTGCAAGGCCATGATTGTAACGGAGCGCGGAAATACTCACGCATTACTCCAACAGTGTACTCAATCTGATTCATTATTTTATTGTTTCTGCGTTTGAGTGGGTGCAAGCATTAGAATGTGATTCAGTTCTAGATTTGTATTTTATTAGTAGATTAGTCTTTTATGAGCTGACTCAATCAGCAATTTTGCTACGTATTTTACGCTTAAAATTAAAAACTTTTGCAAACCAACGTAATGACACGAAAGACTTGTGACCGAACTGGTGATTTTATTAATGAGACATCTGGCTTCCGATCATTTGTCATATCTTTTTCATCACATCGTGTGATCATTCAACCTAGTTGCTAATGCTTTTTTCTCAACAAAAGCATATTCTGTAAGCTTCAATAGGGCGATGAACCAACGACACTAGCAGCGGCGATTAGTGATGTACAGAGCTGTGCAGTCGAAGTTGGAGTCGTGTATTCAAACTCCTCAGAGCCAGCATCAAAATTTCGAATTCCGCGGAATCGAAATTTCAGACTTTAAATAGTGATGAACGGAGTCAAAATTTTCTACAACAATCAAGTTGACGAAACGGTATTGAAAGTCTAATAAAGCAGTCTTGCACACGCCAGAGTTTTAATATCTATAATTGAAAGTTCTCATGAGATCTCGAAATTGGAGTCGGAGTATAACTGTTTTATCAATCCGACTAGGAGTCAAGATTTTTTCAACTTGGAGTCGGAGTTGCATTTTTTCAACCCGGAATCAAATTCGAGTATATATTTACCTCGACTACACAGCCCGGTTGTAGGACCGCTTGTACCGCCAATCTGGCGAGCTCACTCTCTTACATAGTTGTAATGAATTAGCTAATATTCGCCTAATCTCAACTGCTCGTTTGAAGAGTTCGTGATCGAAACAATATTATGAAACTGTATAAAGATATCACCCACGCATCCCATGGAGTTTGATTTTTGAAGATGTTACTAAGAGTTACTAAGTTTTTGGTGAAGTGATTGATATTATAAACGAAAAGGACTTATTTAAAGCAGAAATGTAATCTAGTAATCTGAGTTTTTCTTTCGAAACTCGCAGTCCAGTAACCAGACAATTTAGTGAATTATACTGCACGTTATTGTACGTGTTTATTACTAGTATTCTATAACGAATGGAAATGGTAAATATTTGTCTCGAGGCAAGATAAATACCGTACGATTAGTGTGTACTTTAACAAGAATATTTGTTAAATTGGAAACCATGTTTACTGGGAATGGTACGAAATTAGAGGAAAGAGTTGACGATCGTCGTAGTGGTTTCTAATAATTTTTCTTTTAGTCTCTTATACTGTTCCATTCTATAAATGTGAAGAAACTCATCATTTTTGGAATTTTCATAGAAAAGAATTCTGGTTTAGATCAGGGTAGTCAAGGGCTTAGACTCTAAGTTATATGTTCAATATGCTATCTAAGCTATAAAAAGTTAGTTTATGGGTGAAATCAACGTTAGTTTATGGGTAAGTTTTCACGTAAATAGTACAGATTCATAAATATAAATTCATGATATAAAAATCCTATAAAATACTTATCCATAACATCATTGTAATATAGATATAACACAATGTGGATTTGAGGGCATCGGAGACATTCTTTTGTTTACAATGAATGAGAAAACGCATCGTTGAGTCAAACCAAGAGCATTTCCTGTGCGTGTTACAATGACGACATCACTAACTTTATGTCAATACATGAATTACATTTGAAAGTCCCAACTACCTGTCTATATATATACAGCTGGTCAGTATCTTACATCAAAATTAGAATATTACTACATGACATTTTGTCTTAAAATAGCATAAGATGCGATGACTGTAGTGGAAAATCAGGTTGAGAAATATCCACATCCACAAAAGGAGTGCTTTTGTTTTGGACTGTAGGTGAAATTTTGTTGATTTTCAATATTGATAGATAAATATAATATAGATTTTTAAATCATATATTCATAACGCAGACCGAAATTACTGAAAAGTACCACGATTCTGTATTTTAGTACTTTTACCTGGGTCATTAAAATGCTTTACAAAATTATTTTAATTATTGGGCTGGTTTCATTGCCAACCACGAGATCAGACGATGCGTCTCAAAAATTGGAATCTGATCTACTCATCGGTACTTTCAACATACAAGTGCTCGGAAGAACAAAAATCGGCAAGAGAGAGGTCGTTGATGTACTGGTGGAGGTAATGTTCCTATAAAATTATTTATTCTCATTAAATTACAAAGAATTCCTACAGAGTAATCATAATAGTCTTTCTGCGAATTATAAATAACACTGTATATGGGTGCTTTTTAGTACATGGCTATTCATAAACACGTGGGATGGTATTACAGCCAACGGTATTGACACTAAGTAACCACTCATCGCAAAAACCAGACGGTTGGTGATAATGCGGACCCACTAAGTGTACATTGTATTTCATTCTTGCAGGTTCTAAATCGATATGACTTGGTTGGAGTTTTAGAAATTCGCGATTCTTCTCAGACAGCGTTTGCCGAACTTGTGCAAAGTTTAAACGAATATGCCGGAGGAGATGTCTTTGAATTTTTCACCGGAAGAAGAACAGGAAGAAGTTCAAGTAAAGAACAAACGGGGTTTATTTACAGGTTTGTGTCATTGAATTAATTTTGTCAACTGATACTGATGTGTCACAAATGGATGGCAATATAAACATTGCCTCCAAGATTACATTCGTTGCTTTGCACTGACCCAATCAATGGTGTCAGACTTGGAATCCGAGTAAACTTTCTGCTTACCATAAACGCAAAGCATTCACCTTGCTTTAAAAAATAAATTAAAACAATTTTCAGCTCGAAAATATCGTTGAGTAGAAAATGGAAATTAAAAATATATTCCTCATCTCGTGAGGTTTTATTTCATAGGATTCAGAACTTGCGTTGTTTATAGTCATTCATTTGTTTTACCATAATTCGCCTTTTTTTTGTCAGAACGGAGAAGCTAGACGTTGTCAGTATGTACGAAAGGTTTGATGAATATGACGTACTTGAACGTGAACCGACGATTGCCAGATTCAAAAGAGTGCAACCGATAGGTAAATTAGTATTGATTAGCATAAGTTGTTTATTTCAAACCAAAAAACACTCGCTCAATTAAAAGTAAAGTTGGGCAGAGTTTACTTAAAATATTGGAAATTCCGTACATCGTTCTTTACTAATATTTCTGTCTATATACATAGGATATAGCTGTTATCATGTACACCTGAATGCTCCCTACTTCTAATTGAGCGCTGTGTACAAACGTGCAAAAAGCGGTAAGAAAAAGAATAAAAAATTTGCTGGTATTTGGCTCGTTTACTACTCTCCAAACTTATAGGTCCTATATCCCTAACTTAAAATTAAACACGCTAGTACATTGCGTCTGTGTAAATACATGTATTTTGTAGCTAATATTATTGTTGGATTCGGCGTTATCAAATGAAAATCAATAACATTCGATGAAATATATTTCACAAGGGTCTATCACTGTATTCTATTACATACCGTCCTCAACTAAACTTTCACTGGCAGGACTCGTACGAGAATTCACATTCATTCCAATCCACATAAAGCCTGACGATGCAGTTGCTGAAATGAACAGCCTTTTAGATGTTTGTGATGAAGCTGAAAGAACTTATGGCGAGGTGAGAATTTGAAGTCGAAGATTTGGTAAGATTGACATTTTTCGCCAACTAGCCCGTAAATTGCTCATATTACTTGTCATATAAGGATTTTTGAAACGTAAGTTAAATTGATCTATATTTCACGTCACAACGAAAAGTAAAAATGGTATATTTACCATTTATTCATTAAAATTAACCACTGAAAACAGGAATAATCAGGCTTGGCTAGATGTAGGCTCATTATTGAGATAGCGTGGATGAAAAAGATAAAACTATGATTACAGGTGCAGAAGAGGTCATTTCTGAGTTTAGTTATTATTATTATTACAAATGTGTGTATATTTCATTAATTGAATTAAGATGTAATTTAATGTGGGTCAAATTGAAAAATTATAAATATATATATTATATATACAATAATTCAACCAGCTAATTTCAGTAAAAATGCGTAAATACCACAGCAAGATTTCAATAAAACAGCCGTGAGACAAATGCGCTAGTTTGCATCGGTTTATAGAGTTACAATATTAAAGTTTAGTTATAGCTGAACGCCAAAGGATTCATTACAGCAATTTACAATGGGCTATATAGCATCTATTTTATATATCTTTTAATATTTCATATGGCAATTTGAAAAATTGATATTACCTTTTATTAATTTAATTCCTTTTGTGGACTATGTTTTCCTTGCTTTGAGAATGTGTAAATTACACAAAACTTCTGGAAGTGTAACACCATTCAGATAACATCGACATTCACCGAAACGAGGCCCATAACAACCTATGTAAATGCAAACTACGAGTGATCAATTTTAACTTTTTCTTCATCGTTGTATTTCCCCACGCAGTAATATTACGGGGTGAAGCTTCCATTCTTTCAAGTAAATATTTGTTATTAAATATTTGTTACACGGAACCAGTAAAATGATGGTCTCTCCCCGTAACTATCTCTGATATTGAAAAGCCATTAAGATGAAACATGACAAGCTACCATGAACGCCTTGGTAATAACGGTGGTGCTGGAAGATCATAGCCAAAGTTCTAAATTGTAGGATTATTGCGATTGTCATAAAACGTCTCAGTTAAAAAAGAATTTCAAAACGAACTTCGAGGGCAGTGGCTCATTCTGGCGTACAATCTAATCGAGATATTTGAAGAACTTTTGAGTTTTTTCCGATTCCAAGATAACTGTTTAAAGTTTATAACGCAACCGCCACTACCAATTCATTTATGCGTCACACGAGACTTGGCATAACCGTCCAATTCACGGGCGATTGGGTGGGAAGGATTCCAACCAAATACCTCAAAATTGGATGGACGTATTTGATATCATTGATACATTTTTATGTTATTTTTGGCTTTATTATATTGAAATCAAATAGCGGTCCAAGAGGGCCCATTGGCAATTTGTGTTTATATCGACATATTATTAAACAACAAAATAATTCAAATCCAAATACTGCTTAACGAATCAAATATTGTTACAGAATATCATTGTTGCTGGAGATTTGAATGCAGACTGTTCATATGTTCCCAAATCAAAATGGGAAGATTGTCAATTGAGACAAAGTGAAGATTACCAATGGATGATCTCGGATGAAGAAGATACAACCACAAAGAAAACAAATTGTGCATACGACAGGTTTGAGTTCTGTTAATGATTCTCTCATTTTTTTACTTATATGTAGTGTGCAACTTTCAGATTACCATTGAAATATGTAAATCATTTTTTTCTCAATTCAATTATGTTGTATATAGAATTATTCTCCGAGGAAAAGACATCAAAGAAAATTCATGCTGTGCTAGAGTTTACAGATTTGATCAAGAGATGCAACTGGATCAGGAACTGGTGTGTATTTTCTGCCGTTTTTTAATTTTTTAATCTTGAAATTATACTATACTTTTTAACGATAAATATCTTTATATATACATATATTCAGCAGTCATTTTCCGAAACTTATGTCGAATGAATTTGGGAATTTTTGTGTTTGAATTCATCTTCACATATGAAAGGGACATAAAGCCACAACACTTAGGAGAAAAGTCGCGAAAAATTGCAATTGACCACAAGCCATTAAATGAGCTAAAATAACCTGAGAAATCAATAATCTCCGAAAAGTTGCGTCATGACGATATTAAAATTAAAAAAATATTTAAAAAGAAATTGATTTTTGATATTTTATATTCAAAGGTTGAAGACGTCAGCGATCATTTTCCAGTCGAGTTTATATTATCCTAGGCATCACTATGAAGACTAAATAGAACAAAAAGTCAAAGTCAGCAAAAAATCAACGTCATTCTTAAGATTAATTTCACAAAAATAACAAGAAAACAAACCAATTATAGTTTAGCACTGCCTATCATGCTTCTTGAATACTTAATTTTACCTCGAATTTAAGTCGAGTTATAACGTATAACAATTTGACGTAAGTTTTATCTGAGTAAAAAATTATTTTTTTTCATTTTTACGAAATCATCACTTTATTTGAATTGACAAACACACTCTATAAAACACGTTCAACGATATTTAACTCACTATTTTAAACTTTTGAGACGCTTCAAAGTGTTAATTCATGACAAGTGACGTGTTGGTAGATTCGCGGATACGATGATTTCACGAAAACTATCATCCATAACATCTCTGATTTTACTTCTATTGTAAACGTGTTTTTGATATTTTAATACGTTCATAGTCCTATTTAGTAGTTTGCTTTTAATATGCTATATGTTACTATTATTTGTGTGTTGCTGACAAACTATTCCCTACGTGGGCACGGAGATGCTTGGAGATATTGGGATCATGCAAAACAGCAAAATCTTCTTGAAATTAAAAAAAAAACACGTTATAATATTATTCAAAACTTTGAAATATTGCATACCGGGAACAATGGAGTGCGGGTCAATTTGATTAGGTAAAAAGATTTGTTATTTCAGAAATGGTAAAGTGAAATGCAAAGTTGGTATTAATTAGAGAGAGTTCATTGTCAGGAACAATAGTTTGCAACTAAATGTATTTTGCTATCGATTGGGTTTCTACCAGACTAACCAAGGTCAGACCACCTCAGGCATCAGGGACGGACTAAACCCCTTTTGGTGCCCCCTCATGTGTAATTTAATTTAAAAAAAAAACAATAAACCACATAAGTGTATTATTCACAACCAATCACAATCACCACCAACAGTAAATAAAACAACTTTTACGAACATTTTTAGATTTTTCAACTGGTACATATAGCCGATATATATATCGGCCGCTTACCGTCGATAATGATATATCGGCAAACACGCAATATCTGGCCGATATATCGGTTGACCTCTAATCCTGAGGGAGTGTGACAATAAAGATTCATGCCTCCAGTCTCAACGTGAATCGAAATACCAGAGAATACAAGTCACAACTGTAGTTTGAAATTTTACCGGTACCTAGTAGTCTACCTCAGAGTGGTTCAAGGTTGCTAGGTTGAAGGACCGCAAACACTTTTTAGGAGGTCTCGCGGGCCGCAAGTCGGAAAAAAAAAAAAGAGTGATCGAAATATCGCGAGGTAACTTACTTTAAATTTAATAAACAACGGGAGTTTACCGTTCTAATCAGACTATTATTATGTTGCAAGGGTGGCGTTCTTTTAAAGAAGATATATAAAACCTTCAGTTAATTTAAAGTTAATTCCCGAGAATTACCGTTGTATTTTGCGCATCTCGCGTTTAATGTCGCTTCACGTTATATTCTTTCGTGACAGATATTACTTGAAATCAAACCAGACACTGTGTGATGGGCAAGGAAATACGTTTCCGCCGTGTTTTCCTAATGTCACCTTTTTTGACACACTCATTTTATTACGAATTGTTATATTGAGTAATTTAAAAACTTGCAGCGTGAGCAAGCTTAGTGACATCGTCAAATAACAACCAAGTCCGTCTAAGTTGGTATTTCGGAACCTTGCTAAAAAAAAGGGATTGCGCGACGTTAAGTCGGCTCTGCGTTTCGTCACTACTGTAACATGGCCGACGCTTGTAAACAGAGGAGTGTTTTTAATAAAATAAAGGCACAAGGTGTTAGAAAAAGGGTTTGAATCTTGGGATCTCAACCCCATTTGGAATAGCTAGAAAAAAACTTAAAAACGTTCCTCCATTAGATACAAATATACGCTAAAATTGTTCTGTGAGCCGCACGGAATGTATCAGCATGACAGGGTTTGGACCACTCTGGTCGTCTACCTTATCAAAAAACTCACGACTTCGCTGACCACTAGATCGTTGAAATGCGATCGTGGAACCGCCACATTGTGTAAATAGTTCATTGGTCCCATTGTTGGAGAAAAAATTTCTTTTTAAAACAAAAATGCAGCAACAAGGTGAATACTAGAAAGAAAAAACAACAACAATTTAAGAAAACGACTCATAGGCCCCATTTCGTGTCCAATAAATAAGTTTCAGTGTTTACTTTCAATAAAGAAGGTTAATCTGATACTCGAAGACGAAAAATAAGCGAACATTTTAAAGTTTGAATCGTCTGGTGAAAACACCGATAAACTATATAAAATTCTGCTCTAAAATTTCTGTGGTGCCCATCTTTGCTTGGTGCCCTAAGCACGTGCTTATATGAACTATGTACGACTGAGGAAGTCTGACTTGGTCAGACGAAACGTTACATAAATATATTTTTGTTAGTGTGCAGCAAGACTATTGAATCACTTAGGATAAATGTCTTTGATTGAAAAATTCAAAAATGTCTTAAACGTTATACCGGACGAAAATATTAATTTTGTATATTTGTTTTGTGTGATCATGTTTTTAATTTAATTTACCATTAATTTTTTCAACGCATCTGCTATTGCTATTATTACAATTTTTATCATATTTTTTCGCTGATTGTGCTCTGATAAGATTTTACACATTTAGTATGTTCTTCGTGAGTATACACGTAGAGATGGATTTATAGTAAATATGCGTGGTGTGTAAGTAACTAGAAGATAGGTAATCAGGCCATCACTATTATCAATACTTTCGAGTAGACAGGTTATGTTGAACTAAATTAGTTTTTTGAACCCGACACCAAAATATATCGAAATTTTCCCTGAAAAATGTATTCTTGGAACCACTTGTCGACAATTAGTTTCTATACTCGAATCACTTCTAATTACTTGGACATCGAACACTGTGTTGTCAAATGTAGAAAAAAATCTTTTAAACATTAATTTCAGTTATAAGAATACTTGAACAGCTCAAATATGTGGACCAAATGACTGGTGTAATGGTAGTAATGACTTCCGTAATGACACCACAATTCTGGTCAAATGTTAAAGTAATAGTGCCGAATACTATATGAAGTAGAGCCTAAAAATGGCAACAATTTGGAGCGAAATATAAAAATAAAATATTAAAAGTAATGGACTGGCGACCCTTCCTTCCATCCTGAAATTAGTTGTTTCATTAGTTGCGAAGATAGGTGATTTCGCAAAAACAGCAACCTTAACAAAAACAGCTATTTATCAAAATGAAACAACATGGAAGCAATAAAGTTACGTTCAACGTCTACAGGAAGCAGTAATTTATGCCATATGAAACGATATGATTTATTGCGGCTCATTTGTTATAAAAATGGGCGCCTGTTGTTCTAACTAACTCATCAAATTTATCGCAACAATCAACGATCAAACAGGTCCAGCAGAAGCGACAAAATGCTCTCCGCGGTAATAGCTACTGTGGACGATAAAAAGGAATTCATTCAATGGCACCTGTAGCTATAGCACTTGTGAGTTGCTACATAATATTTCGAGAAGCTTGCAAATTGCAGCTTGCAATTCTACAATGGCTATTACACTGTACTGTGAGTAGGCCTACACGCAGTGAATTCCACTTCCACTAGAGCTAACGGCATTGTTAGGATGAATATGTTACCGGCATTTCACGTACCGGTAGTGGCTGACCTGAGGGTTCAGTGATCAATTTTATAATAAGCCGCATATTTTTATCAAAGTCAAAGCCCTACTGGTTTTCAGCTTTGCCCATTCGTCAAGCAAGACACAAAAAAAATCACATTTCTAATTTTACCTACTGGGCCAATTGCTTTGAATTTATGTTAAAATTTCATGTTGACTCCAAGAGATTTGTGTTGATTGTGTGTGATGACAATATCAAAAATAAAAAGTGCGCACCTTGTGGCGGTTACGCGTTCGCGTTGCCAGAATTATGGCAGAATGCATACCCGTACTACTTCGTTTTGGCTTTCGTGTCTATATATTTGAGCATCTCCAATTGTTTGTCAGGTCACCGTCTCTGACTGATATCGGGACCAAAGCAATTGGGGAAAAATCTTTTCGTTTTATTTCAGGATATTTGTTAAAAATACATAGTAGTCCAGAGTGATTTGTCAATGGGCAAAAAAACAAACTTAATAGAAGAATATTTAAATTGAATTATCATGCACAAAGATGATCTAGCCCGCAATACGCTATAAACTGAGCCCGACTATTCAGGAAGACCAGATGATTTTATTCTGCCAATATGGCTATTGTCACAAGTAACTTATCATTTCGACAACTTATAGTTTAGTGTATCCCGATGCTAAGTACGTGTGCAGGGTAATATAAAAACGCATTGTGATTCCTCACACTAAAGTGTGTATTTACTGCATGGGTTCTAACATCTTAGGGTATATCATTGCTTTGAATATGACGAGTCAGTCAGTCACATTTCTGGTTTCTCCGCGAACAAAGGTAAATATCATTACCCCACGTGCCGATAATTACTGGTAGTGGGAGTTTTTTACCGCATGAATATTCTGTGTAATTAGAAACATAACAAACAAATAGGAAGTACAAACAAATCACACCATACACGCCTATTCTATCATCCAAAAGAGAATTGTATTATAATTTTATTGCGCTACTCCTTCGCTATTCAGCGTGACCGATTTATAGTTCCCGGACCCGCCCAACAAATGATTAAATTAATTAACGACGGAAAATGTCACACAGCGCTGTGCAGAAAGGAAATGTATATATCAACTTTACAAACACTACAATATTGACGTCAGATTTTGATCCCTTTTGGACAGGAATAATGATGTATTGCGGGCAAATATCAACTGGATTTAAATAACAAACTGAAGAGAATAGTCAAATTATCTTCATCAATAGAACGAAAAGCAATGATCCATGTGTCATGATATTCGGCGAGGGCGTGATTTCCTACAAGGATTCCACGTGATTTTGTTTACGATTGCAAGTGTATGTCGTGTTTATTTGTAAATACACCCATTGACCTTTTTATTGTCAATCGATTATGATGAATTTTCAGAGAACCTTCTACTTATGAACAATTATACGTTATTTGAAATTAAAGAAAATACTTATCTTCGCATTTCATGTCTTCACAACTATTTTACTGTTATCTGCCTCCATGACAATACTTTTTTTGCAAAAGTTTGGAAAACAACTGTGCGATAGAAATATATAATTGTTAGTTACATTTTAAACCTGATGAACTAGTGTCTTAAGACAATATGCTTTCGATCGGTATGCTATGCCTAAATAAAAAAATTCAGGTTTACCAAAAACTTTGAATTAAATTTCGTTGAAAAAAACATGAAAATGCATTTGTTTGTATAAAGACGGCTGGAGTAAAGAAAAGAGGCAGTTCTTAGCGTCCATTCCACAAAAGCTGAACTTGGTAGAACTAATTGAAGGTACTTGGAAGTTTAATATTGCGTATAAAATACCAAGAATAAACTACACTTATTGGAAGAACCGATTAATCGAAATCTTTAGGATCTAGTGGTTGCTCTCGTAGAACGAAAATAATTGCGATATATAAATGTACCAATAACCAGTGATTGCTATCACGTGTACTTATTGTTATTAACTTAATTGCTACAATAACAAACAAAGCGAAATACTAACAAATGATCTGATTACTTTCTATGAAATAATAAATACTATGATTGGAATTGAAGTTTGAATATTGCACTCAACTTGCACAATAGCAAAATTTTATTAAGACAAATGACAGTAACGGACCTTTTATCGGAAACTTTAGGTCTGTAGAACATGATTTTGTACAATAAGTTTGCACCGTGAAATGTTTCCAATATAATTACAGGCGAGGCCTGAGGATATACATCACGAAAAACTCCGAACTTTATATTATTCAAAATAGAAAGATTGTATCACAGTTTTGTGAAATTTTTCTACCCAAACTAATACTGCGAGGTGGAATTTTCCTGTACTCCGCTCCGCTTAGCAGTGTTATTAGTATAAAATATGAAATTATTTCAATTTAATTTAGCATTTCAGTGGGTGTCACAACATTATCTAATTTAATGCCATGGTGTCAATGAATCCGAATTGCTTCCTGTCTTCCGTGTTGATAGCTTCACGCCCAATATTGCAAATTGATGCGCGATCCTTTAATTACCAAATATGGGCGTTGTTATCATGTTCGTATCCTTTTTAATTACAGTGATAATGAACAAATACGGATATGTAAACAAATAGAATAGTGTACATTGTAAACATGAATTATCTAATAACGTTTTAAAACGACGTACTTCATATCATTTACAAATTCACCAAATGAAATGACAGATCCGAGACTATTTCAAACCTCTCAATTGGCTCAAATGACGAAATAAGCCACTGAAAAGGATAGCGATTATCTCTGCTATGATTCGGTGCATCTCTACTATGTACCCACTATTCCCACCGTTTATGTGTGAATGAAACTGAATAATTTCCATTGAGTGGGTAAAGTTTTTCAACCTCTAGTTGTTTATTGGACACGAAATGGACATATGGATAGTTTTGGTATTTTTGTTATTGATCATCATGTTATTATTTTATTTTTATTTTTCATCTTCTTGCTGTAAAGTGGAAAAATCGCGTTTCTTATTAACTACTGGACCAATTGCTTTGAAATACTCAGTGGTTACAAATTGTATTAGAAGGTTAGTTAGAAGGTTATTACTTTTATTTATTTTAAACATTTCTGTTGCCTTTATAGGATTCGTTTTTGTCTACGGTGACGCCATCAAAATTAAAAATTGCGCTACTTGTGGCGGTTCAACTATCGCGTAAGCCGGTAAGGCAACTCAGCTGCGATACGATATCGGTAGGCTACTGTGACAGATTGCAGACCCTTACCACTTCGTGTCCATATATTTGAGCATCGCACTTTTGAATTATAGATCCAAACAGAGTAATTATCTATTGTGCTATCGAGTTCGGGTGAGACTCGGCCACGTTATACAGAACAAGGTCTTAAAGCGCGATTCATTTAATTAAGAGCATCTTGATACGAATGGTGAGTAAGGAAGAAATTCTTCATTAGTGTTTGGATAATAATTAACCAAGTCGAATTAAATGCACTTGATCTTATATTCGACGCCATGTGGATAATCAATTGATCCAATGGCCTCTTGACAAACGAACACGTTCAAAATTCATTTCGAATGACGAGAGACAAAACTTTTCATTCCAGACAAACGACTAGGCATTCACGAGAATGAGGCAAATAACTAAATCAATATTAAATTCCAAGTTCTGTTGTAAAGTTACTTTATTTGACTGAATTCTATACATCGGTTGAAACTTACAATTCACACACAAATATATTTAAATAATCCAGTTAAGTGTGAAACAAGCTTGAAAATTAGTAATCAACCACAACAGCTGGCCTTCACTCATATTCCAGAAGAGCAATTATCTTACAATTCAAGTGATTACTTAATATCATAAAGAAAGTACTACAATGGTATTTTTATTAGCACAATTGTTTCTGGGATTTTCTAAAAAACGACTTGTCAATATGGGTCCATAGGTAGTAGGCCTACTTATACCGTTTGGATCCGAATGTAATATATTGGTGCATGTGTGTTTATCGTATAGAAATTGCCAAATATTACAAAGAGTGTATCTTATCTGCTATGATGCGTTCGAAGCATTGCCGTTTTTACATTTTAAAGGCATATTCAAGAATCTTACCGGTTAAAAAATTTTGAATTGACATTTATTCATTTATTTAGCCGGGTTAATAATTCTTCTCGCAAATATTTTCCGTTTACGTGCTTCAAAATTGAATACAATTGAATGAATGAATTTTTTTTAAATTTAATTCAAAATTGTACCATTTTAACTTATCCCAATATAATAATTCAAATTATTTAAACAGTTTTTTGAAAAAGAAGATAAAATAATGATATATAGCAATATATACTAATGTATTCAAAAAAATAGTTTATGAATCTTTTTATCGCTGGTCCGTTTATTGCAAAATATTGTATGATACTTTTTTATAAGTAATATTTAATTTATCATCTATCGGTTACAACAAGTGCTTTCTGAATATACAATTTGAGCAGATATACAGATTTCTCAAAGTCGTTGATGCTTTAAGTAAAAAGAATATATACTTCACATTTGATAAGACAACGATAACACATTTGCCAAATGAAAAGTGATGGAAATATTTTCACAGTCCAATAGCGTAATAAGCAATGATTTGATTTCTAAGTACTTCGAATATTGTCTCAAACTGTTAATGTTTTACCATGATAAAACTAACAGGAAATATAATAAATGCGATTAGTGCAGCTTTGGACATCACGGTTTGTTTAGTTGGTACTACTAATCCCAACAACTTTAAAGTTGGACACACTTTCACAATATAAATACATGGTTATTGTAGCAAATTTTAAAAAGAACATTCCAATGTCATCATTCTTAGATACACTTTCATGGTACATGGCTATTGTAACGAAGTGTTCTAATTAAATATATTTCTGCTAAGATGGTCTGACTTTACCCCTCGGGCATATTTTCGCCGCACACAATGCACAGTCGAGAGTTTGTTAACCCAACGTGACAAGAAATGACGTGGAAGATATTGAGTATATTGGTGAATGTCAAAAGCACCAAATTAACAACATTTACGTTCCAATATACAAGTGCTAAGTCAGGCTACACGTCGCCCGCGGGAAGATGAATTGAAGGCGTGTCAGTAAAATAGGTTATAAACGCAATCCCTCGATTTATAGCATTGTGATATAATCTCTCTCGAACCCTCAAGTGTGATCACAGGCAGTAATAAATTTACAAAGAACAAAAGAGAAAATAGTTAATTAGAAACGGTGTTGCAGGTGCGGATTGATCGGGGAGATTACAAAGAAAGAACAGACAAACGTCGTTTACAACCGAGCGATTTATGAATTAGTTGGTATAAAAGAGGGATGCTCTGTGTAGATATCAACATTAACCATATGGTTGAGACGGGAGAAAGACAGAGATTGGTCTTTGGTTGACTTGGGCAGCTGTATTGTACCTAGAATCAGTATATTATATAACTTATATAATAGGGAATACAGTAAAATAGGCTAACAGTGATTCTTGGTAAAACAAAGCATTCGTACTTCATCAATCAGCAATGAGATTTATTATCGGCGAGTTGAATAATCAATTTCTTATATTTTTAGTTTTAAATTCTTAAGCTGAAACAAGCGGATAAGAAATTCGTAGAAAGGCAACATGTTTGTTAAATTCGCACTTCTGATCGCATTTGCGAGCTGTGTTTTAGCTCAAAAACGAGTTCTCAACATCCACGGTGGAAACACAGACGAAGACATTCCTGAAGGTCCGCCAACTAGCCTGAGCTATGGCATGTTCAACATTATTGCCTCATGTGACATCATCGGTAGATCAGTATCAAGATGCGGACGCAAATCTACCACAAAGTAAGGGGCCTATACTTTATATGATTTCAAATATACCACTGCATTTTAACGCTTCGTTAACTACAGTGAAGACTAGTCGTATTCAAGCAGACTAGCCTAGACCCACACACATACTGCCGGTAGTGTTAGGTTTCCAAACATTTAATTCCTTGTCATATAACTGCATCTGACAGCTATCCGAGATGATATGGAAGTTTTTTTCTTACTTAAATATTGTGTTTCCATTATATAGGTCAGCTTGCAGAAGACACAACTGTTGTTGGAATCTGTCAAACCAGAATCTTAACTTGCCTGTGTGTTTCCAACCCAAGATGAAAATCCAGAACTATCAAGCTGGCACAGCATGGCAAGCGTGGGGCAGCTGGGGTACCTGTTTGGGAAAAGAATTATGTGTTGCAGGGAAACAATTCAGATTCAGAAAGTGTGATGGTGTCCCGGGAACAGGAGGGTGAGTTAATCAATAGAAATATACAAGGACTTCAAGTTTGTAATGGAATCTCATATTCTCTGCAAAAAGAAAGTATATATTTTTCAATTCCAACTTTTTTGCTTATTCAGTTGTTCTGGCACTTGGAAAGAATCGCAGGATTGTACCACAGCTGGTTGTACTGTCGTCGCAACCGCAGCATGGGGAGCATGGGGCTCATATTCAACTTGCACAGTCCCATCTGAGCCAACCTGCTTTACTGGATTCAAGACACGAACAAGAAGTTGCATGCTCGTATCATCAGTCGTCACGTCCACCTCATGCTCAGGATCCAGCTCAGAGGTAAACAAGGCTTAAATACTCGAGTTTGTTTGACAATATACTTATATATACAAGATATAAACACCGGGAAACTTACTATAAATAAGGGTTGTAAAATTCTGCCATTTGTAGAGAATTGTCGCCATATATATAAATCAAAATGCAATTAATTTTCTCTTTAGACCGCTGCTTGCGATTCCAGCCTTTGTCAGACTTCCGGTTCTTGGGTAGCTGGAGCATGCTCTGTCACATGTGGAAGCGGAACGTTTACTTCAACCCGAACATGTTTGACAGGAGGATCCGGAAGTCCTTCAAGCTGTTTCACTAAAACTGAAACGTGTACCCAATCGGCCTGTGGTAAGGAAACATTCTGTTTGTTGTAGTATTGTTCTTGGCTCCGGCTCCGCGAATGCAATCGCGTATCCTTATTAAAAATCATTTTCGTCCCTCTACTTTACCGAAATCACAAAATACACCATAATTAGGAAACTTCGGGTTCAAAGGTTGTCCTTATTTGTATCCTTTCATAATGACTATGAAGTTTTGATAAGTTTTCCATTGGAGTCCCATATCACTCTAGAATAGCTGGCTGAATATCACCTACAACAAAATATATCCAATTTTACAGGAAACACCGACCCCGATTTGGACATTGTCATCATGATAGACGGTACAGAGTTGACTGATAATTGCAAACAGAAAGAACTTGATTTGAACGTCGTTGCTCCATTCACTGGCTCCGTATTCACAAGTGCTAATTTCCCCAATTTTTTCCAGCAAAAGGGCTTCCTTACAAGGTACAATTTAAAACTAGGTATTCGGTATCAGCTTCGGGATTCAAGATCTTGGTTAATAATACGAGCCCATGATTTACTTTAAGTCATTGTTCATAGCTGCCAGCCATGTTTCGTGACGTCCCAAGCCATTATTAACGTGTTGCAAGCTGGCTTCTCTGTAAACATAAGGCTGTTATGGCAAAAATTAGCTAATTAAAAATGTCAATAATGCTTAGTTTTGAAAGGGAATATTGGCAAATATCGTGATTGATTAAGGATGTTTACCTTCTTAAATATTGACATTTTATACTTTAATTGTTTTCTTAAAATATTCTTTATTTAGTTTTATGGCTGAATGGAGTACAGTCACATCAGCTACAACCAGACTTGCGGTTCAAAAAAATTGTGGTTCCTGCTCTTACGCAACACAAACAAACTTCAACGCTGCCAACTTCCTCTCAACAACATTGACGCAGACTATCGTAAGCATCTGGTTCCATTACATTTGAACCCACGTACATTTGAACCCATGACAATTGCACCTGTATGCTATTGCACCTATGGAATTTTTTTTGTTTTTCGGATAGTTGAACCCATACTAATCCTAACCCATGGGTTTTAGCACCCGCATATAGATTGAACCCGTGGATATACACATGGGTTCAAATGTACGTGGGTTCAAATGTACGGTCACCTAAGCACCTATCTTTACTATTGCGCGAATCTACGTCACAATTAATTAATAAAATAAAAATAACGAATACACATTATATATATAAACGTCACAATAATACATTTTAAGTCCTTGTCCTATAAACAATTATTTCTTACCGCATTAATTTATTGCGTCACAATCATTTTAAGATCGACGTAATCAACTTTCCTTGCGATGTATCGGATATTTTCGGAACAATGATATGCGTTAACGATGGACAATTTATTACTGCAAACGGAGAGAGAACAGGAAATAAAAATGTTGGAATTTTCATGATTCCAAGATTCAACACAGTTCCTAACTACTGTAAGTAATAATAGTTTTTAATTCACTCGATGTAACAGAAGTCAAAAATACTGATTAAAAATACCTGCATGATTAGTGTAATTTATTAAAAGTAAATCGTTTCAACTCAGCTTAATTCACATAATCTTGTTGATTGCGATTCTAATTTAGCGTATGCACGTAAATAGATCGAAATATTTATTCGTTTGGGGTGTATGGAGGTACCCAATCGCCCACTACCTCCTCTTGTTGACCAAATATTTTGACAGTGACCCCAAAAGATTAATTTTCACAATCAATGAGGAAAGAAAATTGTTTTTTACATACTCAATCAGTTGTAATAAAAAAAATGAGTCGATTTTGCTTTATCAGAACTTAGAATGATGCAGTGAAAAGCGTTGAATAAATTGATGAATAACCAATTTGTGTATTTTTCAGTGGTGTTTTTGAATGACGCTGTTCTGACTGCAATCAAAGGTTCTCTTACCAACATCGACAAAATACTGATCCTGTCTACTGTCGACATCAGCACTCTCACAACCGCAGAACAAACCACAGAAATAAGCAGTAAGTTAATTTTCTATATTGATTTCATTCAACTCTGAATCTCAGTGATATTGTTAAGTTGTTATAATACGAGTTACGAAAGACTTGTTTTATAAGAAATATGTTTCAATGATGAATGTTTAGTAACGATTATCCTTTTTTTTAGTGTTGAATCAACTTGGATGCTTCACAACCAATCCAGGAACTTGCACTGCCTACATTGGCAACATCTTCGAAAGTACGGCTACAGTTGTCAACAGAATGCGCGCCCTTGTTTAAAACTTTGATTTCCGTATTACTACAATTTTTAGATAAATTTTCTACAATATATCATGATTGATCAGAGCTGATACATGGATATGAAAACCATACTATATTCATTACTATATTAATCGACCCAACGTGGTCAAATATTTTATTTTTATTGGAATTACCATATTTCTTGTACGGTCTATGATTGACTATCAAAGCTTATTGTCGTAAAGTATAAAATATTTTTTGATAAAAATGAGCAAAAATGATTTTTTTTCATGATTTGCTGTATTTTTTTTATATATGCGGTGCAATTTTATGTATTTTTAATACTCGGTTATCTTAAAAGATGCTTTTTTGATAATGTTTTGTAAAAAAATTACAAAATAAATTTTTATATGAAATATTGTTCGATGTTGGCTTAGCGACTGGGTGATGTTGCCAGTGTTTATTATTAAGAGTTTGCAGATTACCGATAAAAATTGGAAGAATTCATGTCAACTATTTAGTATACGTAATGTTACTGCCTGACCTAACGTACGTGTCCAACTTCCTCGTCCAAACTGCTCGATTCATCCCGTTGTAAAACTATATACGCTTGATGTCACTAAAAAGTTGAAATGAAAACTTGATTCCTCAGCTCAATCATACATATATGAATAAAATCAGTCTTGCCAACTGCTTTTGGCCAAAAATAAAACCCAACATTGAACTCTGTCACACGCTTCCCATGCACAAATGCTCAGCACAACAACTTCTAGCTGTAAAACTAACAAGGTGCATCGAGGAGTTGCATGTTAAATATTTTTAAGTTGTTTATATTTCAACAAAACTGGAAAACAAAAATATTGTTTCACATAGTGATGTCTCCTGGGAAGTATGAATGAAATGTATATATGAAATGGGTTATTCAATTGCAGTATTTTACCAGCATTTTATTTTACGGTGGTGTTTCCAAAATATTGCATAGTGTGATAACAAGTTACTTAGCATAGCCTATTTTAAAAGGGAATAATCTTGACAAACATAGTCTTCTGTAAGAGCGGTTAAATTTTAGGAGGGTGAAAACTTCTATGGAAAGAAAATGATAGCCCTATTAGATGAACATGGCCATTTCACGACAGGGATAGCGATTTTTAGATTCCATCACATTTAATGGATTCGAAGAGAGTTCCACGGCTACCAATAACATTTAGTCGTCTTTTATCTTTGGCTTCTACGTCCACAAATTTATATTATTCTGGACTTTGAGTAAGAACAAGGATGTAAATTCAAAGCCATCTTGTTGAATTTGAAACTTTTTTTCGGAATTTTCATTCATGCGACGTTATCTGATAAACCTAGTGGCCAACGTTATTTATAAGTCTAAGAGCACGCTCTCGAGTAAAATGTCACAGATACAGTTCACTGCAACATTATGTAGGCAAAATCGCACACAGTCCATGTAATCTATTCGATATACCAAAAATTATCTTTTAAATATTCGTTTTAAATAAGTGTTGGTAGTAATTAGACAGGGGGTAGAGTGAAATTATCCGCAGTATAGGGCTCTCAGGTGTTAATCATTTGAAAAATATTTGGCTATGCCAAGATTCTCGCATCAAAAATGATGTCATCTGAAATTCTAAAGCCGCTCAGTAAGATCAAAAAATCATTTAATTAATTTCTGAAAACTGCAGAAATTGGAGCATCATCAAAATTATTGTCTATCTTTTTTTTCAGGCATTATTAAATTAAATCCTTCTATTGTGCATACCCAAATATTGAAAATTTTTCACTATAGCGAACTATATTAAATAAGCTGAGCTAACGTAAATCCAAAACCACTACCATTTAAAAAATATAGAAACACAACCATATTGTTCGAGCGTAGTCTAGTCCCCCCATTCCAATACACATGCAAGACAAATAAAATTGTTTACATGTGGCAACGCATATTTAGATGAGTCATCACAAATTATCAAGTTCGCCGGACACCCACAGCTTATGGAAGATTAGTAGAAATGCGCGGAACTGTGTTTATAAATAACGCTACGGGCATTTCGCTATAATCCCCTTTGGAAGGAACGGAACTCCAGTTCCAGTGTTCTTTTGTGGAAAATTACATAGCCGTAAAGCATGGGATAGGCACGTATACACAAAAAGACAATACGGTAGGCTGCAAGTGTGTTATCATACCTTCAAGGCTCGGCTATTCTGAATAAAAGCTTCCACTAAGAGTACAGTCTTTGAGGACAATTACGTAAAATAAATCTATCTCCGTGATTGACGACTGATAGGCAGTGCCAGGTGTACTACAAAAGATATAGAGTATACTTTTCATGATGATATTGCGAGCTTGCTTAGAGTTTTGTATCAGAATGACGAGTAATGAGGCGCTGTATTACAGAAAATCAGCTCTGCCTTTGCAAATATTTCCATGGATATAGCTTCTGAATGAGGAATAATAATATATGTTTTCGGACTGCGGTTATGGCCTTAGCCTGCGAGACAGCGCTTCATCCACTTAATGGATATTATGGTGTGATCAATCTATACCGGTAGCGATACATGTTCTCGGAAAAAATTTCCAATGTATCATTTTGCGTGGTTTATGTGGCGAGAAGTAACTGCTGCTTTGTTGATGAAAAAACACGAAAACATCTTGGATTACTTCGATATCATATGTACGAAAATGACAGTAAATTTAAGGTAATTTTATACGGCAATCTAATTACATTTTTTTTTAATATCGTTTGCACCCGTCATTTCTCCCGAACTACGCTTTATTTTATTTCTATAATAACATCAAAATACACGTAGATTATATGGAATTTAATATAGCCTGTGATCATACTTCAAGTATAATGAATTTAATTTCAGGTTACGATTTCAAGATTGCTTATTGAAGCAGACAGAAAATATGATTGATAATGTGGCCTATCGAACGTACAACGAAAATTGTCAATGTGCGCTAAGCGTAGCCTATGTTGACCGTAAAAAGGAAATAGGCGCACAATGCTCACAAAGCACTGGTGAGGCAAGAAGAGGTTCACAGCGTTAAAGTTCTATATTAGAATATTAGGAAGGCCGTAGCCGCAAGATAGATGTTGTTTGTGAAATTGTGGCTGTAAACGACAGCTTGCTATAAGCACTGCATATCGGTTTATTAGTACAGTACTCCAAATATGGCACGGCACTTGTTACTTGGTGGGGCATGGATGGGAATATAATTATTAAATATATAAAACTTAATGGAATGGAATTCCACCAATCAAATTTATTGAAATAGTATCCGCGAACCATTTAATGTTACTGTTTAAATAACTTATATTTGTATCGTAATTTCATAGTAGATATCAAATCGCAAAATCATTGTATCCTTTTCGTGCTATTTTATATAATGACTATTTGATTTTAGAAATACATTTTCCCCGTCAAATAATTTCTTCACTAAAGTTTGGAAAATAGGTCATTTTCTACATTGTTGACCTAATAATGTCTATTTATATACAAATAATATAAGCATTACGTCGTATAACAAGATTAAACAAAGTTAAGCTGATTTAATATACTTTAAAACGGATTATCCATACAAACAATTTTTTTATATTATAATATTTTTCGAAAATTATATATTATGCGATTCAACTTGACTTTTTGACACTTTATTATCGATTTGTGTGAAATAAAGAATTTCCATTTTCTAAATTGGAAATGGTGTTCATACAACATTATTATACTGTTAAAAAATAGGGGATTGCTCACTTTATCTCAATTTCCCAGTCGCGTTAGCGTTTTAACTTTGATTTCACACGAGTATGAGACCAAATGATAACTAAGACCAGCAAATAATATATTGCTCTAATACCATGGCAATTAAAAAACGTGATGGGAACTGTGAAGCACTGCGAGTTAACACTATCAGGAAAATACCCAGGGCAATATAAATGTTATAAAAATTAATCTACGGAGTCAAGCGGGTTCATCTTAAATATTTATATGTTGATTGGGAACGTATACAGTCAGCTTTAAACCAAAGTTAATGGATTATAATTATTACGCGAATTATGTTAATCGGTAGAAAACTTTTTAGTGGGACAAAGGAGGAATGATTCAAGCCTCGAATGAAACATTCCGAATTACAGTCACAAATTCAGTTTTTATCCGAAAAAAACAGGATCTAACGAAAGATGACAAATAAACTTATTATTTTTTGGAAATAGGTAATTCTTGTTCATCGATCTAATTCTTTATTGTTGAAGTGAGTGGAAGTAGTCACATACGGATCCGAAGTAGGGAATAAACAAGGAGGAAGAAATTGCAGTTTAGTATATACTATTATATTCTTATAGTAACGATGGTGATTTTACGGTTCTCCCTATTTTACAATGATTTTGTTATCTGTTTTGTACCTACTGAAGATTCCATTCTCTTGACGCCATGTATCACATTGTCTCGCTGTCGTTCAAGCTTGCATCGGGTGAAAGTTTTATTTACAAAGTAACTCTATCTACCTTCCACGCTTGGCATTGATAAAATAAAAACACACAATACTGAAAATATTTTCTACTTAGTGCTGTTTACTGTTTTTAACCCAAATTTGTTAAGCAAATATGAAAGACGATACTTTTTTTGAGTGTTTTTGACACCTTTAACGTATTTTTGTGATTGAAATATTACCGGTAAATGAAACGCAAAAAATGAAATTTAATAGAGAACGTTATATAGATGGGCCGTACATAATCTTTACATTTAATTGGTGTGCATACCGCGACCGATTGTGAGTAGTTATTCCAGTATATTAGACAAATTAGTGTGTGTAATTTTTCACCACAAATTACTGTTTCTGGCAGTAAGAGGGGTTTTCTAGTTTATAACTATACAGTACAATTATCAAATTTGTTTTATGAAATCAAGTGTTACTCTTTATATTTTTGTAATATTTTCAAATATCTGAAATTTTTTTTATAGTGTACGTGTAAATTTTAGAAGGTATACATCCCTAATATCGATTCCCTGCTTGGCCATTTTATTTGTTTTTGCGAAAATAATAAACAATATTGTGGACTGATTTAAATACGGAAGTAGCAAATTCAATTCAAAATGGATTGAAATTGATTGCTTTACTATGCTTCGATGGTGAGATGGACATTTAATGTCATGCTGGTATGTATATGCCGTATTTCCGTGGATTCTAGTTGCCGGCAAAATATCCCTCTATTTGACCTTAAATGCCCTTGTCATTTGTTTACTTCTTTATTTGGGAAGAAACGTACTTGAACACATTAGAAACTAATTATATGGATTAAGTACTTTGTTTTTGGAGCTTTCTGCAATTTTATACTTGAACCAAAATACAAATTTGAAACATCACAA